GAAGGCCTGGGTTCGATCCCCAGTGGAAGCACCTTGGTTTAGATCCCGAGGTGGGCACATTTCGTAGTATCCTTTGACAGGATACTTAGATCCACATTGTCTCATTTCACCCAGCTGTAAAATGGGTACCCGTGAGGGTGTGCTGGCAATGTGAGTATTTAGTTCATTGCGCCTAACAGGCAGCATGGCTGTATGATCCCTAGGGAGTTGAAAAAGTATCGGAAAGTATGAAAGTGTCCTATGACCGGGGATAGTAATGTACGTAGCGCCGTGAGCAGGCAATGTGCCTGGATGTGAGCGCCGCCTGTATATGCGGACTATTACTATTACTATTACTATTACTTCCGCCAGGTTTGTCAGCACCATATCCATGGTTTCACCTCAGTGGTAAACATCTGGGACCTGCATCGCTTCAGGCCTCTTGCCTCTCTCAGTCCCTGAACCACGTTATTCTCCCTACAGCCTAACCCTCTCTGAAGTCCTGAATGAAGCAAGTCTAGATTCACTCATCCCTTTTCACTGGGGCTCCTTTTCAATTTAAATGGTATTTTTTGTTATTCTACCATAACTTCAGAAAATACTGAATTGTGATTGGTTAATCAAATTCATTCAGAGGTTTGTAATCACGTTCTATACCTCTGATTTCTAACACAGTATGTTTTATCCCCTGCCACACGTTGAGTGGATTCTTTTCATATTTGGTACCTAGGTTCATCACAGCAAAAGAAAGGTCCCAGTCCGGTTTGGTGAACTTGACCTTCATTTCAAGGTCACAAGGGGACTTTACCGTTTTACCCTTGTCAGCAAGATATGTTAAGAACCTTTCACTGTATTTTCTTCATATACAACACCAAGCTATATCTAGGGGAGGCACAGGGCCCAGTCGATTTTGTTGACCTTCACCTAATTTTCAAGGTCATGGTGACACTCTGAAGATTTCAGCATGTTAAGCTGCATGTTAAGAATGTCAGCAAGATATCTCAAGAACTGTTAATTGGATTTTCTTCATATTCGACATCAAGCTTCATCAAAGGAAGGCGCAGGGCCCAGTCGATTTTGGTGACCTTCCCTTAATTTTCAAGGTCATGGCGACACTTTAAAGATTTCAGCATGTTAACCTGCATGTAAAGATTGTCAGCGAGATATCTCAAGAACCATTCACTGGACTTTCTTCATATTTGACACCAAGCTTCATCTGGGGAAGGTGCAAGGCCCAGTCGATTTTGGTGACCTTCACTTAAATTTCAAGGTCATGGCGACACTTTGAAGATTTCCGCATCTTAAACTGCATGTTAAGAATGTCAGCGAAATATCTCAAGAACAGTTCACTGGATTTTCTTCATAGACTTTCAAGACTTCCCTTGAATGTTTTTCAATAAGCAATTTCTTTATTACTATTTTTGTATATTTCATACACCAAGACATTCATGTCAAGGTCAAGGTGAGTCTTGAAAATATTTGTGCATTTGAACAACTACAGAGCAAGATATCAAGAGAGGTTGACTGGTCATGTTTTTGTTTACATTTAACCAGGGCTCCAGATTAGGGCCGTATCGGCGTATGTACGGATATAAAATAGGCACAATACGGTAGGAAACAATTTTAAAAACGTAGCAGATACGGACCACAGCAATGGTGTACGGTTTCAGAATCATTTACAGACGTATTTATCTGAAAAAGGATTGTTTTATTGTTTACTGACCTGTTTACACAAGAGTAGCAATGTTGTGGTGCATATATGAAACGAAACACAAGATTATTGATACGCCATTAAATTCCATTCAGTACTCTAAATGTACTCTTATTGTTTTCCAGTACTCCTATATTGAAAAAATAAGGAGTACGTACTCCTGATCATGAAAAATTATCTGGAGCCCTGATTTAACTTCATCTTATATTACGACCTTCTCTTTCATTACTTTTAAGTTTGATTTGATAATTGCGGCGGGGGATTATGTCACCTTAGTGAGAATGCTTGTTTGTTTTCTTTAAATTTTAATAACGCGGTTATGGTAGAATAGAGATAAACATACTGTTTTGGAAAATCAGAGATATATAACAAATTATAATAGGTCTAATTTTTTAAATTTAAAACGGAACTCTATGCTTTTGGATTTAAATCAAATGTAGAGCTATTGTCATTTTGTTACAGAGGTACAGATAAGCTGCATATCTGCGTAAATTACGCAAACATTTATGTGAAAACTCAATTCCGCTTGAATTTTTGAAAATACTCAATAAACTTGATCATACATGTGTACACACAAAAATGTCAAATCTTAGCTTGCGTACCGGTGGATAAATAAAATAACTGTGGTATATTGAGACATTCCATTTCAGGACATGAACTTGGCACCTTGCAGTCTTTCTTATCGTTTCTCATATTGCAGATCAAATATAAATAACAAACACTAACATTTAAACTTTATTGTATTTTTAAAACTAATGGAAATACCAAAATACCCAATTGAGTTTGAGTGAGATGAGTACAATTTATTTAGTTACTCAAAGGAAAATTAGGATACCCAATTGGGATGAGCACAAGTGAGTACATAACTCAATGACCCAAACAGTTATCTGTAGCTCTGTTGTTATATACCTCTGATTTTCCAACACAGTATGATTATCTCCTAACTGTCAAATTATAAATATTCAGGTACTAGGCGATCGTACAGCTTTCCTCCTGAAGCTGCCTTGCAGTGGAATAACTGTTCAACCTGGAACACTGTTCAAAGGGGATTTTAAACCCACCTTGCATCACACAGTCTCACTTTAAACAATGCATTTCTGTATGTCATGAAACTAGCATGCTACGACTCATGTTTTTATGCAAATTAATGTTTTCACTTTATGTAAATGTGAAACATTTCCTTCTGTCCTTGCAAGGTACAGATATTGGTCAGACGTCGTCTGCTATCACAATGATAGCACGTTTAACTTCCCTATTGAGAGGATGTCCTTATGCCTGGGTTTGTTTGTTGGAGGTTTATTGCCCCACATTAGGCGTGCCTCGAATACACTATGAGGGTCGGTGTGATAGCCTAATGGTTAAAGCGTCCGCTGGTTATGCTTAAGACCCGGGTTCAATTCCCTTCATGGGTACAGTGAGTGAAGTCCATTGTGGGTGCATCCCTGCTGTGATTGCTAAAAGCGGTGTAAAACTAAACTCACTCACTCACTATGAGGGGAATGTGGTACATACTACGATTAATGGGTAATGAGTATGAGTAATGGGTAATGAGTACGAGTAATTGGTAATGAGTAACAAAATTACGTAGTAAAATGTAGTGAGTAGTAATTGGTAATGATTACAAAAATGAGTAATGAGTACAGTAATTGGTAATGATTACAAAAATGAGTAATGGGTAATGACTACGAATAATGGGTTATGAGTACGAGTAATGGGTAATGAGTTTGAATAATGGGTAATAAGTAATGGATAATGAGTACGAATAATGGGTAATAAGTAATGGATAATGAGTATGAATAATGGGTAATGAGTACGAATAATGGGTAATGAGTACGAATAATGGGTTATGAGTACGAATAATGGGTAATGAGTACAAAAAATGAGTACAAGTAATTGGTACTGATTACGAGTAATGGGTAATGCCTACGAATAATGGGTAATGAGTACAAGTAATGAGTATGGGTAATGAGTACGAGTAATGGGTAATGAGTAATGGGTAATGACTACGAATAATGGGTAATGAGTACGAGTAATGGGTAATGAGTAATGGGTAATGAGTACAAATTATGGGTAATGAGTATGAGTAATGGATAATGAGTACGAATAATGGGTAATGAGTACAAAGTATGGGTTTTGAGTAAGAATGAGTAATGAGTACGGATAATGGGTAATGATTACGAATAATGGGTAATGAGTATGAGTAATGGGTAATGACTACAAATAATGGGTAATGAGTACGAGTAATGCGTAATGAGTACGGGTATGAATAATCGGTAATGAGTACGAGTAATGGGTAATGAGTTTGAATAATGGGTAATAAGTAATGGATAATGAGTACAGTAATGGGTAATGACTCTGTTTGAATAATGGGTACATAAGTAATGGATAAATATAATCGGTAATGAGTGAATGGGTAATGAGTATGAGTATGAATAATTGGTAATAATGGGTAATGACTACGAATAATGGGTAATGACTACAAGAATAATTAATGAGGTATGAATGAGTACAAATGTAATGAGTTTGAATAATGGGTAATAAGTAATGGATAATGAGTACGAGGGTATAAAATAATGGGTAATGACTACGAATAATTGTAATGAGTACAAGTAATGGTCACAGTAATGGGTAATGAATACAGTATGAATAATGAGTGAGTAATGGGTAATGAGTACGAATGAATAATTGGTAATGGTAAATGACTAATGACTCACGAATAATGGGTAATGAGTACAAGTAATGAGTACAAGTAATGGGTAATGAGTACGAGTATGAATAATCGGTAATGAGTACGAGTAATGGGTAATGAGTACGAATAATGGGTAATAAGTAATGGATAACTCAACTTATCCTTGTTTGCCAGTAGCCTGGAATCCCCTTGGTTGCATATCATTGAATACAAATATGTTTGCCAGTCACTGGATTGTCTAGTCTTGACTCAATTAGACTGATCTCCATCATACAGCTATAAGTGACTTGTTGATGTATTTGTTACCCATTACTAGTAGGGGAACTTGGAACTCTAATGAAACACTGCACAACCGTATCAGATCAATCTGAGGCGTCAGTCAGAGGGTTGGGGCCCATATTGAATATTGAAATATTCATTGACATGCCTATGTCAATCTATGTGAACTGTTTTTTACATTTTGATGTCAGGGTTTTGAGTTTGATACATAATGAGCACATATGTCCTGTAAATTTGTGTTATGGATTTGTAGAACCAAATATTCTGAAACAAGTGACAAAATTTAAATTTTGCTCGCACTAAAGGTAATATTTTTGACCATGTCATCCTGTTGTGTTGTAGGAGCTGAGGGAAATCCAGATCGCCAACAAGAGTGAGAATAAATATCCATCAGATGAGGGCAAGAAGGAGTGTAACATCAAGAAAAACAGATACAAGGACATCCTGCCCTGTGAGTTGCAGCACTAACACAGTATAGGGGCATGGGGGACAAAGGGGTGTGGGGGACATAGGGGGCATAGGACATAGGGGTGTGGGGCACATGGGGGATGTGGGGGACATAGGGGGTGTGGGGATGTAAAGGGCATGGGGACATAGGGGTGTGGGGACATAGGGTGCGTGGGGGACGTAGGGGGCATCATCAGGAGGCATGAGTTACAGCACCATCACGGGAACGTAGGGGGCATCATCAGGGGGAATGATGAGGGTTCAAAGAAAACAGGGAGCCATTGGGGGTGTGGGCATGGACATCTGGAGCCATTGATGGTTCAGATGGAAATCCGTGATGGTTCTGGGTATGTGGAGCCAGTGATGGTTCAGATGGGAAGGAACCGCCTTCGTGGTGTAGTGGTTAGAGCGTCCGCCCGGAGAGCGGAAGGTCACGGGTTCGATCCCCGACCGCGTCATACCAAAAGACGTTAAAATATGGTACTTGTTGGTCCCTGCCTGGTGCTCGGCATTAATGTGGAGCCAGTGATGGTTTAGATGGGAAGGCAGTGATGGTTCTGGGTATGTGGAGCCAGTGATGGTTCAGATGGGAAGGCAGTGATGGTTCTGTGTATGTGGAGCCAGTGATGGTTTAGATGGGAAGGCAGTGATGATTCTGGGTATGTGGAGCCAGTGATGGTTCAGATGGGAAGGCAGTGATGGTTCTGTGTATGTGGAGCCAGTGATGGTTCAGATGGGAAGGCAGTGATAGTTCTGGGTATGTGGAGCCAGTGATGGTTCAGATGGGAAGGCAGTGATGGTTCTGGGGATGTGGAGCCAGTGATGGTTTAGATGGGAAGGCAGTGATTGTTCTGGGGATGTGGAGCCAGTGATGGTTTAGATGGGAAGGGAGTGATAGTTCTGGGTATGTGGAGCCATTGATGGTTCAGATGGGAAGGCAGTGATAGTTCTGGGTATGTGGAGCCATTGATGGTTCAGATGGGAAGGCAGTGATGGTTCTTGGTATGTGGAGCCAGTGATGGTTTAGATGGGAAGGCAGTAATGGTTCTTGGTATGTGGAGCCATTGATGGTTCAGATGGGAAGGCAGTGATGGTTCTGGGTATGTGGAGCCATTGATGGTTCAGATGGGAAGGCAGTGATTGTTCTGGGGATGTGGAGCCATTGATGGTTCAGATGGGAAGGCAGTGATGGTTCTGTGTATGTGGAGCCAGTGATGGTTTAGATGGGAAGGCAGTGATAGTTCTGGGTATGTGGAGCCATTGATGGTTCAGATGGGAAGGCAGTGATAGTTCTGGGTATGTGGAGCCAGTGATGGTTCAGATTGGAAGACAGTGATGGTTCTGGGGATGTGGAGCCAGTGATGGTTCAGATTGGAAGACAGTGATGGTTCTTGGGATGTGGAGCCAGTGATGGTTCAGATTGGAAGGCAGTGATGGTTCTGGGGATGTGGAGCCAGTGATGGTTTAGATGGGAAGGCAGTGATGGTTCTGTGTATGTGGAGCCAGTGATGGTTCATATGGGAAGGCAGTGATGGTTCTGGGCATGTGGAGCCAGTGATGGTTCAGATGGGAAGGCAGTGATGGTTCTGGGTATGTGGAGCCAGTGATGGTATGGAGTCATTGAGTTTTGAGGATCTAGGGAGCTTGTGCAGCCACTGACCAGTATATCTGAGAACTGAGGTGTGTTGAGCATCACCACAGTTCAGAATGAGTAACAGTGTCCCCAAGCAGTGCCATGATGTGCTGATTGTAATTTGAAATCCCATATTCAAATTGAATATGATGCTTGGTCTGTCAGTTTCTTGGTGAATATGTTCACTGCGCCTGTTACCTGTATCACATTGGGTTTCTTCCATTCCAGTCAGGTCATGATGTTGCTGAAATATTGGCTGAAGCAGAGGTTACCTCCGACCTTTTTCAGTCAGTCAGTTCATACATCAGTCCACCCACACTTGACAAATGATTTATGTTTTCAGTCGACTACCGCCGTGTTGTTCTGTCCAAACAAGATGGAGTAGATGGATCTGACTACATCAATGCCAGCTTCATACAGGTAGGGCCAACACCATTGACCACGTAACATATAGGGCATTGTGGCATCACCATTGACCATGTGACATGTAGGTCATTGTGACATCACCTTTGACCATATTACATCTAAGGCATTGTGACATCACCATTTACCATATGACATGTAGGGCATTGTGACATCACCATTGACCACATTACAGGGGGATTGTGATATCACCATTGACCACATTACATGTAGGTCATTGTGGCATCACCATTGACCACATTACATGTAGGGCATCGTGGCATCACCATTGACCACATTACATGTAGGGCATTGTGACATCACCATTGACCACATTACATGTAGGTCATTGTGGCATCACCATTGACCACATGACATGTAGGTCATTGTGACATCTCCATTGACTATCAGTACTGTACTCTCCATTATCAACACTTATACAAATAATAGTCATGGCACCATGACTATCTTATCTACCATATCCACCAAGGAGCGGTGGGGTAGCCTAGTGGTTAAAGTGTCCTCTCGTCATTCGGAAGACCCGGGTTCGATTCCCCACATGGGTACAATGTGTGAAGCCCATTTCTGGTGTCCCCCGCCGTGATATTGCTGGAATATTGCTTAAAGTGGCGTAAAACTAAACTCACTCACTCACTCACTCCAAAACCAAACATTACATGAGAATATCCGACAGACATGAACATAGGTCCACCAGTATGATGACAGTAAATCTGATGCCTTTGTATTGTCTTGTACAGGATGTATATGGGAAGAATGGCTACATCGCCTCCCAGGGCCCACTACCTCACACCGTCAACGACTTCTGGCGTATGCTGTGGGAGTACAAGGTGGAGATCGTCTTCATGGTGTGTCGTGAAGAGGAATCAGGGAGGGTAGGTGTACAGTGTTACTCACCTCTTGCTCAGGATACCTCCTACAATCATATATATCAGTAAGAATACCTCTCTGATTCAGACATCAGCATCGTTGATGAAGACGTATGTTTGTGTAAAGTGACACCTGGTTTATCCAGATAATTGTTCCCGGTGTTGTCAGTGTCCAGATAATCAAATGTCTGGATAAAGGCGTGGAGATGAGTGTCAAATCACCCCTTTCTATGTATATAGGTGTCCCCTATAGTTATCTCCCCTTTCTATATGTATATAGATGTCCCCCATAGTTATCTGCCCTTTGTCATTAATGGTAACCCGACAGTAAATCGCTATCTACGGGAGATTATCAGGCCCCTTGTTTTGCCATGTTTACAACGTATCGGTGTTGGATCCATATTCCAAGATGACAATGCCCGACCACACCGTGGCCGTGTCGTGACGGACTTACTTAGACAGAACAATGTTCAGCACATGGAATGACCGGCATATTCAGAGGATTTAGCCCCTATTGAACATGCTTGGCACGAGTTAGGACGTCGGCGTCGTAACAACCACGCCCCTCCAAACAACTGTGCAGAACTGGCCCAATATCTCATTCCAGAATGGCTGGCAATACCCCAAGCCTTCTTCCAACGTCTGTTGTTGTTATCATGAAATGCTGGCTCGAGTTGTTATATGATCGCTACCTTTCACTGTTATTTATATTTGTAGTTATGGCCATTAAAAGTTGTGACCCGTAACTTGTTTTGAGTAGTATGTATTTGTATATCCTGTTTGGTATGTGACAGGAAGTCTCTTTATTCCATCTCGGCTGTAATATGAGGAGGTTTCAGTCAAAAGGAGGTACTAAGTAGTAATTGTTTGTAAAATTACTATATGAATATCAGTTACTATAATTGATAAGTGCTGGATTGTGATCATTGTTTAAGAAGCATCTAGAGGACTTGGCATACAGTCATGATAGATGTCAAGTGTTATTAATAAGACAATGAATGTTTCTAGTGCTTAGCTAGATATTCAGGGAATAAGCATCATTAACCAGGGAGGGCTGTTCTCAACATATACAGTACAACCAGAAATTATTGAGAAGTTAAAGATTGTAAATCTTTTTATTTTTTCACTCATTACTCACATATTAAATGTGAATATTAGCAGAACATAACTCCAGATTCAAATCAGGTGAACAGTTAGTATTTTGTCAAGTCACCATGGGCAGCAATGCAGGCTTCAATGTGGCGGGGCATACTACTGATCAAAGAAGTTAGAAAGTCGTGGTCCATGCTGTCCCAATATCGGACCACCTCTTCTTTTATTTCAGCAATATTTGTCAGATTTTTCTTATTGACACTTTCCTTCATAAGTCCCCAAACATTTTCTATTGGATTTAGGTCAGGGCTATAGCTTGGCCAATCTAATAATGTCATATTTTGGGTCCGAAACCAGGCCTGTGAATGCTTTGAACGATGTTTTGGATCGTTGTCCTGCTGGAAAATCCAAAAATTTCCATAGAACACGTGAGCAGATGGAAGTAAATGTCCCTCGAGACCCTGCGCTGGGGTCCTAATTGCGGCAAACTCAGACCACAGACAACTGGCAGTTACCGATAATTACAACTTTGGTCCGCATTATTCAAAGAATTCACAATCATATTGTGTTTACTCACGCCCTCGAAATGAAGTAGCTGGTCCATAGACATGATATCTCAAGTCATTAACCCAGTATTCACTTCCAGTAGTACATGACACAGTTTGAAAATATGTGCATAGACAGCCCCCTCTCTTCACCCTTGTTCTAGGCACCAAAGGGGTGATGGGGTGGCACAGTTGTTAGAGCAGTTGCAAGTCATGCCAATAGTTCATTTCCATATGAATGTATCATGGGACCCTCTATTATCGCGGTAGTTAATGTTGTCGCCATCGAGATTATGAACAGCTACTGACATTTAGCATTTTATATATATTTTCAGTTGACTGATGTTTAATCTTCATTTCTGTCACAAATAATGTGACACATAGCCGCAACTCGTTTAATACCATTGTGGCAATTCCAATTGTCTCGTTTGACCCGGAAATTGAAGCAACTCTCTATTATTGCGGTATTGCTATTTTCTTACTATGGCACGCGGTACAAGCAGATGACACTGTGAAATGTTTACTAAGACAAGTAACGAATCTAAATAGTTTGATCATTAAAAAATATTTAGAAATTTCATTCACATTAATAATATCATCATGTTTTTAACCCAAACATCTGAAACTTCTATTCATTTGGATACAAGGTAACAATAACATTACAAGATATTGTCTTTCCGCCTTAAAACGTATCATACAAGCTGCTGCCGTGTGTAGAGTGAAGTTGCATAATACGTCACTACCTGTTATATTTTTAGCACGGAAAATATGCAAATGACCTTAAAGTTGTCGCAGGATTACTCTTGACGAAGTAAGTTTTGATTCATGCTAGATGTAATGGCAGTAGGGGTCATACTAGTTTCAAAATGTTCTAGAACTTACTGAAAAGATGAATGCTTTACTATTTCTACAATTAGACATGACATTCCAAATGAATTAATGACTTTTTCAAGAGCGATGAATATATTTACGTAATTTGCATATGTAAACAGCCGATGCGGGGCGTGGTGTTTCTGCTTTCCTGAAGTTTTCGCGTGCCACAATAACAGAGAGCCCGCGATAATAGAGAGTCCCAGTATACAATTTATGAAGTCTATATTTCCATTAAATACCCAGCAGGCACATCAACGTTGTTTCAACGTTGAGAATAGGTTGATCCTCAACGTTGAAAATAGATTGAAAATAGGTTGTATATGAAAGTTTTTTTGACGTAGATATCCGACGTGGAATCAACGTTGAAGTTTGACCGATTATCAAGGTTGAAAAAAGGTTGATCCTCAACGTTGAAAATAGATTGAAAATAGGTTGTATATGAAAGTTTTTTTGACGTAGATATCCGACGTGGAATCAACGTTGAAGTTTGACCGATTATCAACGTTGAGAATAGGTTGATCCTCAACGCTGAAAATAGATTGAAAATAGGTTGTATATGAAAGTTTTTGACGTAGATATCCGGCGTGGAATCAATGTTGAAGTCTGACATATTATTAACGTTGAAAATGGGTTGTTCCGTGGTTGTGTCTGGGAGGTATTACGCTTTCCTGTAAATAGACTCTCGCATTTCATCTTTAAACTACAATAAAGTAGCACCAAACTCCTGCATCCAGCTAAAATACCCAAAAGCTACCTGCAATAAACAGTGTTCAAACAGAAAATTGCAGTAAAAATATTTACCTGATAAAATACTTGGTTAAAATTCCACATTCAATATAATGTTCATTTAAGTTTTATGTCAGTTGGACGTTATAATTCCAGTAAGAAGAAAAGAGTATTCCAAATTAAGAAAAACTATTTACTGTTGTATTGTTACCTTGAAAAGGTGAAAATTGTCCCGAGAAGACATTTTGTCTGAATTTCAGCTCTTAGACAGACACCTGAATAAACACAATGCAATTACTTTCACCATGAAAGGGATCCAAGATGACCAGGAACTATACCTGAAGACAGCACATAAAACAAGTCACTTTTCATGAAATCTTTATGAAAACACACGCACACAGAAAACGCGTGGTTTAATGCATAATGTAAAACATCACACATGACATAGTCTGTAGGTGATCTCTGTTGTGCTAATAACACAATATCATCTGCATATAGCATCAAAGTGACATTTACGCCACCAATTTCAATACCACAGTTCAGATTTTTCAACACAATTACAACTCCCAAAACACAATTATCAGCTCCTCTTCTTTCTGCCACTCCTCGCCTGGCGGTCAGGTGGATACTTCAGAAACGTTCCTAACTCTTTCTTGAAATTTGCTTCGATGCATTCCCATCTCATTGCCTTGAGATAGGACACATTCTGAAATTTTATATTTAAATACATGAATAAGTTATATGGAAGATATATTGTCTTAAATGATTCAAGTATTTGTTTAATCAATCACTTGAAAGGTTCATTTCACTGCTGTAACTTGGCATGTGAACATATGAACAGCATCAATACAAAATATGACGAAAAGTGTAAACAATTTATATTTTCAACCTAAGGAATGGAAGTTTTCTTAAACATTTTCAAAGAAAATCCTCAATTGCAAGTTGATTATTTAATTAGACTATGAATTACCGGTAGGATGAATTAGACGATGCTTTACTGTCATATATTATTTGCTATGGTCATGATGAAAATGCTGCACTTGGTAATTAACTTACCAGAGATGATTGAATACAACCTTGTATTCTTAAAAGAAAACTTGCCGCTTTGCCCATCAACATTCATTCTTGACATCAAATTGTTTGACATTGTCCTGCAAAACAATGGAAGATTGTTGTTATTCTGTCAGATTTAGTTTCTTTTTAGAGATTCTCGAAATGATTATTTCAAATTAATAGGAGTTGAGCTGATGTAGCAATTTTGCTACCAGGAGTCATAAATTGTAACAAAAGCCATTTTACATCAAATGATAAGAAAACAAAATGGGTGGTGGTTCACAGGTCAAAGAACAAGTCTATTGTGGGAGGTCTCCCAACACCATTTGTTCCCAAACACAAGGAAGTATGGATCATGGCGTTCTGAAAACAATAATGAGCTCTCATAAGTATGCAATATATTCTCTATTATCTACTCTCTCTCTCTCTTTGTCATTTGTACACTCATAAAACTCAGATAAATAACTTTTTTATAATTCATAAATGTTTACACTTAATCTCTTATAGGAACGCTTGGAAATCTCTCATATAATGAATTATGTGTGCGTATTATCTGCGACGTAATAACTATGCTTCTCTGAATCATGAACAATAAAATAATGAGATTAAACTCTACATTGCCAGAAATAATCTATCATACCATGAATAATAAGACATTGAATAACATCTCTTACAACTCCAATCTACACTCAAAAAGACTTAAATGTACTCGTAAACAAACATCACTGGCACACGCAAATTCTTGGAAACAGTGCATCTCTGACTCTCAATTCCAAGAAATGGAAGTCCTACTCTATTTGACCAAAGGGGTGACAGGTGGCCAAAACATATTGAAATGTAGGTCATACACTGAAAAATAACTGATTTAAAACACTACAAATATACACCTTCTCTATAATATACTCGATAGATGATCTTAACAAGGGAACTTGTACATAAAATGCTGATATCTAACAATACCTGTACTCTAAATAATGGACTCTTCCAAATCTCAGTATGTTTCACTGCACACATATTAGATTGCAAATAATGAAAAACCTACCCTTTGACAATAATAAAAAACATCATATTCAAATTCTACAGCTGACCAAATACCTGAAGAGTGTGTTTCCCAGCAATAAACATCTCTATATATCTATAAATGTATGACTTCTGTCCTCTCGCCTGCTATCTTGCATCCAGCTGTTTACGGCGAAAAACAATATGGCGCCAAGCAAGGGAGTGCTCATTAAACTAAACATATCCGGGAGAAATCATTGTCATTTTTTCTCTTAAATGATCAACCTTAATATATAAATGAAAATAAAGACCAACTATTATCACCCAAAAAGACCAAACATTATCACAAATATTCAAAACAGGTGGTAATAAAAGAGCATTATCATCTTTCTCTTAAACTTTGTGGTGGATATACTGGAAACAAGTGAAATGTTAAAAACGTGTTACCTTAGCCTTGCTCCTTTTATGTGATCCACAAAATTGCTTCCACCCAGTCTTCGAAGATGAGATTTCTGCAAATTCCATTAAAATAATCTTATTTCATAATTAAATGTTCCTTACATTAAAATTACTTCTTTTGTATGTAAGATTTTAACCTTTAAGAGACATGAATTATCATATCCCTTCCAAACAAGTGTAAGAATGAAAGTCTGTGGGTGCAGTTTTGTTAATTGTCCCATCAAAGAATCATTAGTGAAGTTTTTCGTTGCATTTCCTTACGCCATTCTCCACCACCCCTTCCCCCCAATAATATACATATGTTGACAGGGTTCAGGGCGTGCTCAATGCATCATTTACTGATAGATCTATTCAAACGAACAAATGTTCATAATAATGGGATGCAATATAAAATGTTGATTAATTCTATCCGATTTTGTATAGCTGCCCTTAGGGACCGTTCATAATGTATGGCTTTGGGGTGATGTTGATTTTATGAACAATGTGAATTACCCCAAAGTGTATGAGTATGTACAGAATAAGAGACGGCCCACCCTGCATGTCATGTACATTATCTATGCCGCCCTCTCCCCTTCCCATAATTTCTAAACATAGTGCGTGTGTACAAAAATGCTGACCCCTTAGCTCCCCTGAACAAAATGGGTGACACCCCACCCCACCCTCCAACCCTTACAATCAACACCCCCACCCAGGGGGTGTTTAATTTAATTATGAACGGTTCCTTATATTGATGTACTTCATTGATTATTTGAAAATGTATATTTGCAAAATTCAAATCAGGTGATGGGTACGAAAGGAAATCTTATTCGATTATATAATAAAATGCCAAATATATGCATGCAAATATATTGAAAAATAACAAAACAAGTTCATCGAAAACACGGGCTTCCACTAAATTTTGATAAACATGTACTGTGACATACCGGTAACCTTGTGAGATAAAACATGAGCCCTAATTCGGAGTTTCTTGCTACTGCTAGATTTAAACGGCATTCCTACGTTTTCATTATACATGAAGGACATACTTACCAAATAAACACCAGCATGCCGTGAAGATGGTGAAAATAGAACGATATTGCGTTGGACTTCACCAAAGTGGCGATCGAAAGGTCAACATCTGGCTTGTGTTTGAAAGCAAATTGTCGGGAATTATACAATTTTCACAGTTTTGTGGGAAAATATCAAATGTAATGCAATTTGGATAACTGATGACTTTATACCTAAAACTGCGATTTACGTAATATTTCCGTCCGTTGATCGATGCACAATCAAATAATATATAAGATTATATCTGTCACTAGCTCGATCTTGATCTTTTATGAAAATAATGTTCCGAAATGATAGTTGCTAAGTTGGATACCTATTACCAATATGAATTATGTATCAAATTTGCCAAGGAAACAATTAGTTGACATTTTGTTGGTTCCTTACGTTGAAACAACGTTGACAACTAAACGAATCTCGACTAACTTTCTTTGGTCGCATGATAAACGTTGAATCAACGTTTATGAAAGGTTGATCAACCAAACAACCAAAATTCAACGTTGATTCAACGTTGTGTGCCCGCTGGGTACTCTCCTTCAGTCACATTTATAGCTATTATTTCAAGTTTGTCTAACATTAACTGCTCATCAGAATGAGTGAGAAAGAGAGTGGATGAGTTTGGCTTTACGTCACTTTTAGCAAAATTCCAGCAATATCATGGCAAGGGACACCAGAAATGGACTTCACACATTGTTCCAATCTGGAGGATCGAACCTAGGTTTTCAGCGTGATGAGTGTACACTTTAACCACTAGGCTACCCCACTGCCCATCATGAGAATGGACTTTATGCTCTAGTCTCCCGATCTGCTGTCAACTGCCCTCAAACTGCCCTCAAACTGCCTGTACTTCTCTATCACAGTTCTCAACAAACAACCAATTGTGTGCAGGCTTGTAACATATGTTATACTTGAAATTTACGAAGAAAGTGTAATCCCAAATATAACATATGTTACATTTGACCGCTTTCAAATTGGCATTGTGTGTTTAGGCATGGTCAACACTTTTGACTTGTTTGTATCTTGACAGAACAGACAGGAAAGAAGGGATGCATCACACATAATTTCATTTCCTGCAGAAGACACAATTTCCTAATAACCGTGAGATATGTCGGCAGTGACTATGATGGAACATATGTTTTCCCTGAGATTATACTTTCTTAGGAAAGTACAGATTTTAGTACGTTACAGAGCTACAGATAACTTTTTGGGTCATTGAGTTATGTACTCGCTTGTGTTCATCTCAATTGGGTATCCTAATTTTCCTTTGAGTAACCAAATACATTGTACTCATCTCACTCAAACTCAATTGGGTATTTTGCCATTTTCCAATAATTTAAAAATATAATAAAGTTTAAATTTGAGTGTTTTTTATTGATATTTGATCTGTAATATGAGAAGCGATAAGAAAAACTGCAAGTTGTCAAGTTCATATCCTGAAATAGAACCTCTCAGTATACCTCAGTTATAGTATCTATCAACCGGTACGCATATTAAGATTTGACATTTTTGTGTGTACGCGTGTAAGATCACATTTATTGAGTATTTACAAAAATTCAAGCGTACTTGTACGCAATAGACTTAATAGGAATTGAGTTTTCACATAAATATTTGCGTAATTTACGCAGATACGCAGCTTATCTGTACCTCTGACTTTAGTAGTTTAGTGGTGGTTGAGTTTCATCCAGGATTTGAATCCGCACGCTCCGATGAGGCACCAAATCACGCACAGTCGCAGTCAGCTAATCCACTCACAGCTTCCACAAAATCGGAGTGAGTGAGTAAGTGTGTATGGTTTTGCACCGCTTTTAGCAATATTCCAGCAATATCACATCGGGGGACACCAGAAATGGGCTTCACACATTGTATCCATGTGGGGAATTGAACCCGGGTCTTCGGTGTGACGAGCGAATGCTTTAACCTCTAGGCTACCCCCACAAAATCGGAGGTGTGGCAGTTGGTAGTCAAGATACATACATGTGTACCCCTCAGACAAGCGTATATGTCACTCTGACTTTGTGTGTTGGCAATTTGGTGCCTCGCTGTAGATGGCAATATGTTACGTCAGGCAGGATATGTGAACTTCTTTCCTATGTGCAACAGGTCTTTGTAGATATATCCTCACTGGTGGCCATCACTTGTTCGAAGACAGATAGAGTTACCTCCCTTATACTGTAAGCCACCATACCGCTGATACAACATACATTTAACGTATGTGGGGAATCGAACCTGGGTCTTCAGCGTGACAAGCGAATGTTTTAACCACTAGGCTACCCCACTGCCCTCAATAAAGTTGTAGGCATGGCGATGATATTAGTATACATTCAACGTATTTACACAGACAGCTAAACTTGTGTTGTGAGCTGAGATCCCAGTCACCAGCTGCTACAGATAGATCAGCAGCACCTTCAAGTGCTCCTAACAGGCAAATTGATAAAGATGTAAATTAGTTCATGTCATGAATGTTTATCAGAGTTATCAATTTCAGATATAACATTGTGTTCAGTGCCCTAGATCCGTTCATCCTCTTTATTGGCCCTGTTATCAGTGAACTGCAGGTCTTTGCCTTAGTTCTGTCTTTAGCTACGTTTACTGACATTGATGGGGACCCCTGAGCAGGACGAGATAAGCCCTTGATTTTGTAATATTCAAGTCCTCATCACAGGGTTGTGATGTGGTTCATACTATTGACCATTGGGTTGTCATGAAGATATTGTATGAAACAACATTCATCTCTCCTCATTAGTATTCAGATTATGTTTTGGGCGGTGGGGTAGCCTAGTGGTTAAAGCGTTGGCTTGTCACGCCGAGGATCCGGGTTCGATTCCCCACATGGGCACAATGTGTTAAGCCCATTTCTGGTGTCCCCCGCCGTGATATTGCTGGAATATTGCTAAAAGCGGCGTAAAACTAAACTCAGTCAGTCAGTCAGATTATGTTTTTGAAATGCTTGGCTCATGCTCCACATCCAGGGATGCCTGTGGAGGAGAGTATGAAAGCAGGTGCTTGATTGAGAAATGGCTTTCAAGATTTAAGGCCATGTTTGTTTCAGGCTGCTTACTTGACCTTCAGTGGTCCAACTGGCTTTGTTATATTCTGATTATTGTTCAAGTGATGAGATGTTGTATTGAATGACCTCTGATGTTTTGTACACATCTGTTTGCAGCCAAAATGTGAGCGCTACTGGCCTTTGGAAAGCGAGGCCAAGATGTTTGGGCAACTAGAAGTCACTCTGGTTGGTATCTTCATCATATAAGCTACATTTACTGATGATGATAATGATGATGATGATGATACGAATGAGCATTTGAAATGTCTGATGATGATGATATGATCCTGACTGCCTTGAAACAGGCTAGATATAGCTTGATGGCAGCAGTGTTCTGTGGGCATTCAACTTTCGTTTGATCCGTACATGGGTTGATGGACTCAACATGGCACTCAGGAGTACTTCTGTTCGGTCGTGAGCCAGGGTTTTGAATCATATTGTACCTTTGTCACTTCAGCCATTACATTGCCAGGCATCAAACTCAATTAGTTTTACTTACCACCAGTAATAATAAGGTTGTCATGTGGATATATAGAGATAAGCAGCCATTTGAAATGCCTGGATTTCAGGAGTCTGAGAAGGAACTGTTTCCTGACTTTGTGGAGCGTATCCTGCGTGTGAGCCATGGCAGTGAGAAGCATGTCGTGAAACAGTTCCACTACACAGGATGGCCGGACCACGGAGTGCCACACCACAGCCGTGAGGTCTACAAGATGGTGTGCAAGATGAGGGAAGCGAGGCGTTTGTTGGAGATACCCATAGTTATACACTGCAGGTACATAGCCATTGTCGTACACTGCAGGTATATAGCCATTGTCATACATTGTATGTACATTGTCATTGTCATACACTGCAGGTACATAGCCATTGTCATACACTGCAGGTACATAGCCATTGTCATACATGGCAGGTATATAGCCATTGTCGTACACTGCAGGTATATAGCCATTGTCATACATTGTATGTACATTGTCATTGTCATACATTGCAGGTACATAGCCATTGTCATACACTGCAGGTACATAGCCATTGTCATACATGGCAGGTATATAGCCATTGTCGTACACTGCAGGTATATAGCCATTGTCATACATTGTATGTACATTGTCATTGTCATACACTGCTGGTACATAACTGTCATAACCATTGTCATACACTGCAGGTACATAGCCATTGTCATACACTGCAGGTACATAGCCATTGTCATACATGGCAGGTATATAGCCATTGTTGTACACTGCAGGTATATAGCCATTGTCATACATTGTATGTACATTGACCATTGTCATACACTGCAGGTACATAGCCATTGTCATACATTGCAGGTACATAGCCATTGTCATACACTGCGGGTATATAGCCATTGTCATACACTGCAGGTATATAGCCATTGTCATACACTGCAGGTAACATACCCATTGTCATACACTGCAAGTAACATAGCCATTGTCATACACTGCAGGTAACATACCCATTGTCATACACTGCAGGTATATAGCCATTGTCATACACTGCAGGTATATAGCCATTGTCATACACTGCAGGTACATACCAATTGTCATACACTGCAGGTAACATACCCATTGTCGTACACTGCAGGTATATAGCCATTGTCATACATTGTATGTACATTGTCATTGTCATACACTGCAGGTACATAGCCATTGTCATACACTGCAGGTACATAGCCATTGTCATACATGGCAGGTATATAGCCATTGTCGTACACTGCAGGTATATAGCCATTGTCATACATTGTATGTACATTGTCATTGTCATACACTGCAGGTACATAGCCATTGTCATACACTGCAGGTACATAACCATTGTCATACACTGCAGGTACATAGCCATTGTCATACATGGCAGGTATATAGCCATTGTCATACATTGTATGTATATAGCCATTGTCATACATTGTATGTACATTGACCATTGTCATACATGGCAGGTACATATCCATTGTCATACACTGCAGGTACATAGCCATTGTCATACACTGCGGGTACATAGCCATTGTCATTCACTGCAGGTATATAGCCATTGTCATACACTGCAGGTAACATACCCATTGTCATACACTGCAAGTTACATACCCATTGTCATACACTGCAGGTAACATACCCATTGTCATACACTGCAGGTATATAGCCATTGTCATACACTGCAGGTATATAGCCATTGTCATACACTGCAGGTACATACCAATTGTCATACACTGCAGGTAACATACCCATTGTCATACACTGCAGGTACATAGCCATTGTCATACACTGCAGGTATATAGCCATTGTCATACACTGCAGGTAACATACCCATTGTCATACACTGCAGGTACATAGCCATTGTCATACATACACTGCAGGTGACATACCCATTGTCATACACTGTGATACACTCATACACTGTTGTGGCATTGACTCATGTAGGAGGTGAAACTTGCTAGACCTAGGAACAGTCCATAATAACTGGTTTCTTGACAACTGAAAGTGTATCGTGTACATGGCTGATTATTTCATGTTAAACTTCCAGCAAAACGGGAGACTCATAAGAGGACAATGAAACTAGAGTTGATTTGCATATTATCCACAATTACACAGTGTATCTTTGATCTGCTGTATTTCAGTGCTGGCTGTGGCCGGACAGGGACTATATGTGCAGTGGACTATGCCTGGACCTTGTTGGATCAAAATGTGAGCATTCTTCAGGAATAAGAACTAAACTATGGCATTATCACTAATACTTCTGCTTGAACCCGTGAAGATCCGGGTTAGAATATTGATCTTCAGTAACCCATGCTTGTCGGAAGATGCGACTAACGGGATCGGGTGGTCAGGTTCGCTGACTTGGTTGACACATGTCATCGTTTCCCAGTTGCGCAGATCGATGCTCATGCTGTTGATCACTGGATTGTCTGGTCCAGACTAGATTATTTACAGAACGCCGTCATATAGCTGGAATATTGCTGAGTCCGGCGTACAACTAAACTCACTCACTCACTCACTTACTTCTGCTTGACAGCCATTTCTGTACTGTAAATGTCAGGCCAATTCAAATTGTTTACTGTGGGTCTGTCACTGGTTTGGTGCAATCACTAACTGTCTAATGGCACAGGACAGTGAAACAATTTTGAGCAGAACTATCATCGGGGTTTCCACCCCCCACCTTGCATTTACTCACCCGTTGTAGAGTGTTGGCGTGAAAGGATATATGACTGTGATAACATTGAGCATTATCTTGATGTTTTCAGAAAGTATCCCATGGTTTTAGCCTGTATGAAGTTATCAGCAACATTCGCCAGCAGCGCCAGTCTATGGTGCAGACTCCGGTAAGTTAGGCAGCAGACTGGTGGGTATATCGATCACTCCTCTGATGTCATTCTCTCCTCGGACAGACTGATGTCATTCTGAGTGCTGTCATTCAAACATTGTGATGTCATTCTGAGTAATGTCATTCAAACATTGTCATGTCAATTAAACATCGTGATGTCATTCTGAGTGATGTCATTCAAACATTGTGATGTCATTCTGAGTAATGTCATTCAAACATTGTGATGTCATTCTGAGTAATGTCATTCAAACATTATGTCATTGAAACATCGTGATGTCATTCTGAGTGATGTTGTTCAAACATTGTTATGTCATTTTGAGTAATGTCATTCAAACATTGTGATGTCATTCTGAGTGATGTCATTCAAACATCATTATGTCATTCTGAGTCATGTCATTCAAACATTGACATGTCATTCAAACATCATGATGTCATTCTGAGTAATGTCATTCAAACATTATGTCATTCAAACATGTCATTTTGAGTAATGTCATTCAAACATTATGATGTCATTCAAACATTGTGATGTCATTCTGAGTCATGTCATGCAAACGTGACGTCTTTCTGAGTGATGCCATTCTGAGTGATGTCATTCCTACAATGTGACAGTGTGATGTCATTCTGAGTGATGTCATTCAGCATATCATTCAGCTGATGTTATTCATGATGATGTCATTGAAACACTGTGATGTCAGTATGTGATATCTAACTGGCTGTTAACACAACACTGTTGTACTCTGTGGCATAGTTCTATCTGGTAAAGGCTTGCTGGGCTAGGTCTGAATAACATTTATGTGTTTATGTTCAAGACTGTATTTCCCCTGTATATCCCCTGTATTATCTTGTATTTTCCTTGCATTTCCCCAGTATATATATCCCCAGTATTTCCCCTGTATTTACCATGTATTTCCCCTGTATTTCTCCAGTATTTACCCCATATTTCCCCAGTATTTACCCCATATTTCCCCGGTATTTACCCCGTATTTCCCCAATATTTCACACGTATTTCCCCTGTATTTTCCTGTATTCCCCCAATATTTCCCCTGTATTCCCCCAATATTTACCCAGTATTTACCCCATATTTCCCCAATATTACCCCGTATTTACCCAATATTTCCCCAGTATTTACCCCATATTTCCTCGATATTTCCCAAGTATTTCCCCCATATTTCCCCAATATTTCCCCAGTATTTCCCCCGTATTTCCCCAATATTTCCCCAGTATTTCCCCTGTATTTCCTCATTCTCTCTGTCTCCCTGCTGCAGGACCAGTATGAGTTTGCTCACCTGGTTGTACAGAGCCTGTGTGAGGACTGGATCAACCTCTACCAGGTAGGTATACAGAGGTTTACTCACTCATACCCTGAAGGTGTGACTCACACTATCGGTCACTGCATTGTCTGGTCTATATTGTATATTTTTCTGGCAACTGTCATACAGATGGGACATTGCTGAGTGTGGTGTTACAATAAACAGTGAGTGAGTTAATATTTAACGTCACATCGGCAATATCGCAGCCATATCGTGACGATACAATAAACAGAGTCCATATTGGCTGTATTGTATGTAGCATCTGACTTGGTTCGGGCGGTGGGGTAGCCTTATGGTTGAAGCGTTCACTCGTCACGCCCTCACTCACTCTAACGCCGAAGTCCTGGATTCGATTACCCACATGGGTGCAATGTGTGAAACCCATTTCTGGTGTCCCCCGCCGTTGCTAAAAGCGGCATAAAACTAAACTCACTCACTCACTCTAAGTTGGTTGACTGTTTGTCATCACTCTGATCCATTCCTGTTTCAGGAGCATGATTACTACAATGCAGACTTACTAGCACCAGTAAAAGATGAGGAGGTAAGCTGAGTGTTCAAAGGTTCAAGAAGTAAACAGAACTGTGTCCATTATCTCATTATTCTGGGGTGACAGGGTAGCCTGGTGGTTAAAGCATTGTAGAACCCAACTCACTCACTCATGATAGGACCGCCTCCATGGTGTAGTGGTTAGAGCGTCCGCCCGGAGAGCGGAAGGTCGCGGGTTCGATCCCCGACCGCGTCATACCAAAAGACGTTAAAATATGGTACTTGTTGGTCCCTGCCTGGCGCTTGGCATTAATGGGTACAATAAGGACTGGTCGGCTCGGAGTCAGTATAATGTGTCTGAGTGGGGTATTCATGCTTCACTGCAACATGGTATCTCAGTGGGCTAGCACTATAAAACCAGCTTCAGTCTGGGCTAGTAAAAGCAGCCGCACATACACATACACGCGCATGCACGTCGTCATATGAGCAAAATGTTCTCAAGCACGACGTTAAACCCAATTTCACCTCACCTCACTCATGATAATCCTTGAGACAGAGGGTAACTTGAACAACTGCTGACCATTTGATATTCTTTGGTGCGGGAAGTTGGAACAGACGTGATATTTGAAAATTCATGGTTTTTGCCCACAAATTAAATTCAAGTAAGAGGACATGCCTTGTTACCTGAAAAACTGTGTTGTCAGTGTCAACAGCATCGTTTGGCTCTTCATGTTGGGGGAATGTTCTATGGCACTGACTAAAAACATATTGTGTCACACGTTCACTTTGACTTTAGTGGAAGGACCCCATGGCTGTGGGGGTGGTGGGGTAGCCCAGTGGTTAAAGCATTCGCTCGTCACGCAGAACACCCGGGTTCGTTTCCTTTCATGGGTACAATGTGTGAAGCCCAAGTCTGGTGTTCCCCCGCTGTGATATTGCTGGAATATTGCTAAAAGTGGCGTAAAACTAAACTCACTCACTCACTCACTGGCTGTGGTTCAAATCCATGACTGATCCTGAAGGATTATCCTTGTGTCCACCGCCAGTGTACATGGTTACACCACAGTAGTAAATGTGTTAGGTGGTGACATGCTGGGCTTTCATACCACCTCAATATATGACATATATACACATGGAAAAAGGTATCGCCACACCCTATATAACATATATATGAAATATTGTTCAAAGGTTAAAATCTGTTGGTCCAAGGTCACTCCTAATATGCATCTTGTTTGTAGTAATGTACAGTAAACTACAGTTAAAATGAACTGAAAAGGACTACTAATTTTACTTTTTTGACTGTAGTTTGTTATATGCATGAAATATACAGCATGTGCCTTGGACCCCAAACAAATCCTTATATCTGTCAGTTCAATACAAACATGTTTAATATGAACATATTTTACTTTAAGTGTTATTATTTTCATGAACTTGATTTTTCAGAAAATACCAAAACGGCTACCTAGTATGCGGGACTTATGATCAATCTATCTTGAAATATAATACAGTGTCTGCTTTTAACTCGTCATTAAATAGTGTTCATTCTGAGGAGTTCCAAGCTTGTTACAGACTGTAATGACCCTTCTTGGTGCCCTTGACCTTGCTTTGTGTTGGTTAATGGCAGTATAAAAGTCTACTCACTCACTCACTCATCATTGTTTGGTATGTTGAGTATTCTCAAGGCTTTTAACTGTGTAACAGCCTGGGGAACACCAAGGAAGTGTTTTACAGACAGTACTGTATTTAATATTTGTTGCAGTTTGAGTGTTACATGTCAAAATAAAGTCACTGCAATCACGAGCACAGGAAGCTCAATGATGACTTCAAATATTTCCATGCCAAAAAACATCGGACCACAGAGATCAGCTGTTATTTTTTTCCCAAATGCTGCATCCCCTGAAAAAGAAAATATGGAACCTCCTTAGAGATCTTGCTTAAGTGCTTAAGTTAGGGACCTGGCTTAATTTAGAGACCAGGGCCTAGATTTTCGAAGCTCTCTTAGCGCTGAGAGAGTCGTAAGTGCCATATATTAACATTAACTTCCGACTATCTTAGGGCTAACAGAGCTCAGAAAATCTAGGCTCTTATTTTAACTGCAACAAACTTTTCTATGTCAGACTGAACACTATTTAAGCATCTGTGTACCATGTTTATTAACAGATCTGAAACGTGTTTGTGAATATGTTTTACTGATTTTTGGTTAATACATTTGAACAAGTTCTGAGAGTAACGCTAGCCGCCTTGCATCTATTCTGTACAACATGAGTTGTTGTCTGTGATACAGGTAGAGATGAGTAACTGTAAACACACTCAGACTTCTGCTGACACTGATGATGGTGGCAGGTATCAGAAATAGAGCTGGGAGCTCGTTGTTTAGTTCTGAAAAGTCTTTTCATCAATTCAGGATTGATGATCCAGACCCACATCAGTCTCAGAAACAGAAAATTTCTAGACTTGAAATTAATTTTTGAGTACATTATCCTGTGTCCTTTTAAAAAGCCTGTTTCACCTGCTTTTCCCAATGCCTCAATATGATTGGTGGAAAATATCTCAGAACTATTTCAAATATTGTGCGATGTGCTATATTTACTAAAACACCACCTCAGATGATCTCTTCTCTTCAGACTTGTTTACTGGTTGAGTTGAAGGACAAGTCATTGCTATGTTAACAAGAGTCGGGACTGGTTCAATGAACCCATGAAGGTCCGGGCTAGAATATTGATCTTCAGTAACCCTTGCTTGTCATAAGAGGCGACTAACGGGATCAGGTGGTCAGGCTCACTGACTTGGTTGACACATGTCATCGGTTCCAATTGCTCAGATCGATGCTCATGCTGTTGATCACTGGATTGTCTGGTCCAGACTCGATTATTTACGGACCGCCACCATATAGGAATGGAATATTGCTGGGTGCGGCGTAAAACTAAACTCACTCACTCACTCAATATCGATCATTGTTCATGATATCAATCACTGGATTGTCTGCCCCAGAATTAATTGTTTACCGACACTATTCGTACAGCGGGGTAGGGGTAACCTGGTGGTTAAAGCGTCGTGCCGTTTCAATTCCCCATATGGGTACAATGTGTAGTGCCCATTCCTAGTGTCCCTAATATTGTTGGTTTGTTGTTTAACGCTGCACTCGGCAATATTCCAGCTATATGGCTGCGGTCTGTATATAATCAATCCAGTGATCAACAGCATGAGCATCAATCTTTGCAATTGGGATACGATGACACGTTGTCAACCAAGGCAGCGAGCCTGACCACCCAGTCCCATTAGTCGCCTCTTACGACAAGCATGGTTTGCTGAAGGCCAATTCTAACCTGGATCTTCAAGGATTTCTTTGTTGGAATATTGCTAAAAGCAGCAATACACACTCACTATTTGCATAGCTGATTTATTGCCAAGTCTGAAGCAGAGAGATCAGTACTGATGCGTGTACAGTATATACTCAATGATTCACGGTGCTGACTAACCACTGTATTTCTGCATCAGATTTACTATAACACTACAGGAGAGCTGGCAAGTAAGTATCGCACATTATTGTCTTTCTCATCACAAAACATGGTCTCATCATGATAGACTGCTCAGATCTTGATACTGGGGTATTTTATACTATTTACATACATCCTACTCACAAAGTAAAAAAACAAACATATTTGGTCATATCTATTAACTTAAACTATAGTTTTCGGGACAGTGGGGTAGCCTAGTGGTTAAAGCGTTTACTCGTCACGCTCAAGACCTGGGTTCAATTTCCCCACTTGGATACAATGTTTTTTTTATTATTGGATATTTATATAGCGCACATATCCACGCACTAGTGCACGGTCAAGGCAATGGTATGTTTTGTGTAAAGCCCATTTCAGGTGTCCAATATTGCTGGAATTTTGCTAAACGCAGCATAAAACCCAACTCACTCACTCTCTCAGAGTAGTTATTAGTAACCTCGTTATATGAAATAAATGTGGTAATCCCAGCAACTTAAACGTCATTGACATCCACTCAGTAGAGAGATTATTTAGCCTCACTGGCCATCAGCTACAAACACAAGCATGTATATCCATAAAAAGTATCATCATTCTTTATTCTGTCTTGTTTATTGACAATTTTATAGACTGGCTTTCATACATCTTGTGTTGTTGTGTGTTGATTATGGTATAGCATGAGATGGGCTTGAGGCACATATATATCATTGCACATATAGCTTAGCTTCGCACTTGTGACTTTGTATAAATCTCTTTGTTAAGAGTTAAATATTACATCAAGGTGCAGAAAGTCTTTATGTGTACAATATGTGAGGTTAAAGCTTTGGCTTCTCACTCAAAGGCCCAGGTTCGATTCCCCACATGGGTACAATGTGTGAAGCCCATTTCTGGTATCCCCTGCGGTGATATTGCTTGAATATTGCTAAAAGTGGGGCTAAACTGTACTTGCTGTTTAATATATTATACTTGGAAAAGAAATAATATAGGTGATGGGTCCTGTTGGGTAATATACTGCTCAAAAGAAATTAAGGATCACTAAATTTTGAATACACTTCACGATACTTGGTGATATAATTGTTGGTATCTGTCAAGAAGTGTGGAAAATGACAAGTGACGGAGCTGCTGGATTTTAGCTGTAAGGCTTCCTCCCATCCTCCCAGCGTTAAATACCTGGACTGGACTTAGATTAGGGCTGGAGCCACGTGGCCAGAACTCTTCATAAAACATATCACAGTAGCCTGTTGAAGAGACAGATACAACATTTGTCGTGAGGGGATTTGTCTGACAATTCAGGATTGTTGGACACACATCTTTAAAATCAGTCGAACAGACGTGATCTCAACAGGATTGTTGGACACACATCTTTACAATCAGTCGAACAGACGTGATCTCAACAGGATTGTTGGACACACATCTTTACAATCAGTCGAACAGACGTGATCTCAACAGGATTTTGGACACACATCTTGACAATCAGTTGAACAGACGTGATCTCAACAGGATTGTTGGACACATCATCTGACAATCAGTTGAACAGACTTGATCTCAACAGGATTGTTGGACACACATCTTGACAATCAGTCGAAACAGACGTGATCTCAACAGGATTTTTGGACACACATCTTGACAATCAGTCGAACAGACTTGATCTCAACAGGATTATCGGACACACATCATCTGACAATCAGACATGATGACTACAAGATGGGGAGATAGAAGCCAAGGATGACCTTGAGTGTTGGACTGGAGAATAGGTCATGCTTAGGGCTCAGTGCAGGCTATAGTCAGATATTTTCACCCCTTTAGTCAACATATTTTAAACAACCTGAAACACAGGTAGTGCAGTAGTCGCTGCGGTAGTCTTTATGAAACAAGTCGCAGCTCTAGTGCAAATATGAAACAAAGCTCACTGCTATAGTCTGTATGAAGCGTTGGTCACATCTGTAGTGTGTATATGGTATAAAACAGGTCACCGCTAGCATGGCTATAGTTTATATAAAACATAATACACAGCCGCCATTTGAAAATACAATATAGTCTGTATGAAGCGTTGGTCACATCTGTAGTGTGTATATGGTATAAAACAGGTCACCGCTAGCATGGCTATAGTTTATATAAAACATAATACACAGCCGCCATTTGAAAATACAATATAGTCTGTATGAAGCGTTGGTCACATCTGTAGTGTGTATATGGTATAAAACAGGTCACCGCTAGCATGGCTATAGTTTATATAAAACATAATACACAGCCATTTGAAAATACAATATAGTCTGTATGAAGCGCTGGTCACATCTGTAGTGTGTATATGGTATAAAACAGGTCACCGCTAGCATGGCTATAGTTTATATAAAACATGAAACACAGCCGCCATTTGAAAATACAATATAGTCTGTATGAAGCGTTGGTCACATCTGTAGTGTGTATATGGTATAAAACAGGTCACCGCTAGCATGGCTATAGTTTATATAAAACATAATACACAGCCGCCATTTGAAAATACAATATAGTCTGTATGAAGTGTTCTTCGCATCTGTAGTTTGTATATAGTCTGCATGAAGCGTTGGTCACATCTGTAGTGTGTATATGGTATAAAACAGGTCACCGCTAGCATGGCTATAGTTTATATAAAACATAATGCACAGCCGCCATTTGAAAATACAATATAGTCTGTATGAAGCGTTGGTCACATCTGTAGTGTGTATATGGTATAAAACAGGTCACCGCTAGCATGGCTATAGTTTATATAAAACATGAAACACAGCCGCCATTTGAAAATACAATATAGTCTGTATGAAGCGTTGGTCACATCTGTAGTGTGTATATGGTATAAAACAGGTCACCGCTAGCATGGCTATAGTTTATATAAAACATAATACACAGCCGCCATTTGAAAATACAATATAGTCTGTATGAAGTGTTCTTCGCATCTGTAGTTTGTATATAGTCTGCATGAAGCTAAGTTCATATAAAACATGATACACAGCTGCCATTTGAAAATACAATATAGTCATGAAGCGTTATCATCTGTAGTGTGTATATGGTATAAAACAGGTCACCGCTAGCATGGCTATAGTTTATATAAAACATAATGCACAGCCGCCATTTGAAAATACAATATAGTCTGTATGAAGCGTTCTTCGCATCTGTAGTGTGTATATGGTATAAAACAGGTCACCGCTAGCATGGCTATAGTTTATATAAAACATAATCATTTGTCATTTGCAAATAGAATATAGGTCACAGCTTTAGGAGAATTTGATGCTCTTCTGCTGCGAACACCTGATACAGGCATGTTATGTTGCTTGTTACATCACAGTAGAGTAGTATCAGGAGTCACACTGATCATACAGTCTGCTTGAGGCAGTATGGGGAAGTGAAAGCCCTGTGCTCTAGGTTCCACTACAGGCCTACCAAAGAAAACTTTCCCACTGTGAAGAAAAACGCAGAAGAGCCCACATTAATCGTGGAAATAGCAACATAAACATAATACGTCGCTACTGAAACAGTAAAAACGGCAACTTTAAATCGCTAAAACTACATAAAAAAACGAAGAGCCTGCAACTTCGATTTTGCCCAAGTGCACATGGAAGAGGAAGTCTCGACCGCATGTTGACATTTTCCAGCTTGGACAAAAGTTACATTCCCTTTTTAAGTATTTCTGTTGTGTTATTTGGCATTTATCATCATGATATTTGTGTGCCCTCTTGTTTAATATACTTTCCATTCGTGTATGAAATGACTAACAGCAATTATTTCGACATATTTAATATTTTGTTCTACGCGAGGCGATTCACGGTTGCTCGGAAATTGGAAAGAAGCATGGATCGTAATGCGCATGTGCAGTAGAGGTCAAAGTTCGCTGATATAAAAATGTTGCAGTTTCATAGTTTTTCGTTGCCGGATTTACTGTTTCAGTAGCGAGGGATTATGTTTCGGTTGCTATTTCCACGATTAATGTGGGCTTATCTGCGTTTTTCTGCACAGTGGGAAAGTTTTCTTTGGTAGGCCTGCACTACACTAAATCAGAATCACATGCTCCTTGAGCAAGCACCGTATGTAAACAACTGAAGAGACAGAGACATCTGACAGCTGTGATTGGATGAAATAGTGTAAGCTGTTTATGCTTTTTAAAAGCACATCCAACCAGTAATTAAAACTGACCACAATTTTAAGTATTTAGTGCTCTCAATTTTATCTCCATGACTTATGCTTATTGTGTGTACAGATATTTTCCAGTAGGTGACATTTGGTGCGGAACTTGGGTTGATGTGTTCCGCTTCCCTGTGCTCGGAAAATGAGCCAGATAATTTGGCCAGAAATTGTGTTTTATTGTAGTTTAAAGGCCTGACTGTACCCATGTGTACATGGAATGGCTGTTGATAGCCTGGATAATTTAAAAAAATATATAAGGTTACTATAGAAGTCTATGGGAAAACATTTGGTGTTGTGTAACCTGTAAGGTGCAGAGTTGTGTCCCCTTGCTGCCCAGATCTGGTGATCATGAGTAGTAGGGTAATAAGTTAAGTCAGGTGTGATTAATGGCGTGTCATTGTACCCCAATAGCATGGATTGTTGCTCATGATATCAGTCACTGGTTTGTGTGCTGAATATGTCTGAGTGTAGTTAAACAACAAACAACAAAAGGTAAGGCAGCTGGGTTGCATGTCGTATTGTTTTACTGCAGCCAGAACTTTCTGTATCAACCTATTGGCCAGGGAGATCTAACATGGACATTTTTCCATTCTGTACTGAGAAAGTGTAATTCCCAAACTTAAGTTACTTTTCTGTTCTAGCTATATTTCGAGGTATACCGCTGTTATGTTTTCCAAACCAGGTATTATTATGTGTAAAGGAACTTCAGACAGAGAGTGTGTGTGTGGTTGTGTGTGTGTGGGGTGTGTGTGGGGGTGGGGGGAGGGCTGGGGTAGCTGAGTGGTTAAAGTGTTTGCTCGACACACTGAAGACCCAGGTTTGATTCCCCACAAGGGTACAATGTGTGAAGCCCATTTATGCTGTCCCCCACCGTGATATTGCTGGAATATTGCTAAAAGTGGCATATAACTAAAACTCACTCACTCAGTGTGTTTGAAACATGCTCACAATAATACCTGTTTTAAACAAGGCCGACATTGTAGTCCTTTATCACTAAGAACATTAAAAATGATGGTACAGAGTACATCAAGACCATGCCTTCCTCCGCTCTCGATTTGTCAGTGACATTTCAAATCACACACAACACCTCCAACAGGGAAACAGACACCTGATTTATTGCCTGCTTCACTGTGGAAGCTTATATTGAATGGGAGGTACTTCTTTCTCAGTCACTGCAGATAGGCTTTTTGAAATGATGCTGGATTTACAAATCTTCATGTGATTTCTGCTCTATCTGTGTGACAATACGTTTCTGCAGAAAACTGGATCGAAATTGACTGCTGAGCGTGTTGTAAGTTTTATAGAATATTGCTCAAAGCGTCAACCACTTTCACTCACTCACACACTATATATTTTGATAATTACAAGGTTATATTAAGGGTATACAAGTCCATAGCCTGCTATATAATCCTGATCAGTACAAGTTATTATCACTGACATATTGAATGGCACAACACCAACTCAGTCGGAAGTGTAATACATGAAGGTCAATGGATCTGTTTGGATACACGTGTAGAAATGAGCACAACTCACTGATGCTGTCAACATCAGCCAAGTTCAAGTATATGCATCGTAAAAGTCCCGTAAAGACCTTGAAGATTGGATTGATATGGTTCTCGTCATTGGTTGGACAGCAAGGTCAAGGTCACTAGGAAGTCACCAGAGAAGACCAGTGGTTCACGATTTGCGTTGATATGTGTTGCAGGAGCAGACATGGAACAAATATTGAAAGGGTTTTCAGGAACCTCTCAGCTGCAATGGAACTTCAGACCAGTCAAAGGAGACTATGTACCACTGACCGAAATAAGGGGATCAAAAGTGGAACTATATGTTTATTCTTGGTGTGAAGACTTTATTGATGCCACTGACGCCTTCCATTGTAGTTGTCTCAGTTACGACATCAGATGACCTGGAAACTTTGCATAAAGCCGTTAAACAATTATATGTGATCCTTATCTTATAGTGAGCAGTATAGTATGCAGTATATATATATGAGGGAGCACTTATTATGTGTGTCGAAGATGTTTCTTTGGTATTTTGAATTCTTTTCCATTCTTTTCTGTCTTACACTCCAAATTCTTTACATTCTATTTTAATGTTGATGACTCTAAATAAAAACAATGTATAACACCTGGTAGTTTGATACAGTTTGACGTTTTCATTGCAATACATGCGTTTAAGGATGGGTATTTCGGAAGATGCTTTTCATAATCATGCATAATTTAAGAAAATATTATTCAGATATGGTACAGTAATAATGGGAATATCCAAAAAAGTGAAGTCCCATTTGTTTAAGTATATGCATATTTCAAGGATATTTCCATTTATTTAGGTATTTGGATATTTCCATTTATTTAGGTATTTGGATATTTTAAGGATATTTCCATTTATTTAGGCACACCTTCCCCGTCTTCCCCTCCCTCCACATCGACCCACACAGAGGGATCAAGAAAACCTCACCCCCTGCCTCGACCCACACTGGATGTGAAAGGTGGCGGGGACCAATATGAAAATGTTGTCATTCGTGCCCCCTCAGTCAAGGGTCCTAAAAAGCCCTCGAGAGCTGTGTCTGACACCGGCCATTCGTACGACAACCATAAGCCAAGCATGACAGGAGATCCCAAACCATCTGCCGTGTCCAAAGCGACATCATTGCCCGCACCGTTGAAGCAGATGTCACCGAAGACCCTGGAGAAACTACCAAGAACACAGGCAGCCCCCACATCAAGACCCAATGTTTCTGTAACCAACACCCTGCCAAAAGCGGGACATAGTACTACAGTAAATGTCTCTGGCACCACAACTAAAAAAACATTTGCACCACAACCACCAACAAACACCCAACTAGATGCTCACAGGGTAGGTGTCCGGAACTTGGGTCAAGTTGGTGGGCAGACGCCGGTCGCAGCAAACCGGAAACTGTCCAGTGAGGTTACAAATGGGCAGCCTGATGTGTATGGGGAGGTTGTAAAGAATCCTGGCAAACTTGGGAGCAATCCTGATGTGTCTTACCCAGCTCTCCAACACGTACAGAAAAAGAGAGGTAAGAAGCTTCACCCATAATGATTGTCGTGAGTGTGTCTTGACTATGTAACAAAACCGACCAACACAAGTGTACACTGACATGTATCGCTTGTGTTGGTTGTGTTCTATGGAGACAATCAGGTAAAGTAGAACGTCCATGTGAGATTTATTCCAGGTTATATATTTTCATGGTGAATTCAGGAACTGTCCGTTCCTTATAGGTCTGGTTGGATCAGAGGGACTCGGGGAGGGCCACACAAAAATATGACATTCTCAGGGGATGTACAAAATTAACAAATAGCAAAGTTAGAAATCTCATGAAAAAGTGGACATTTTGTGATATAATATTAAATGCTTTTGCATTGTCTTCTCAGGGAGGGTAATAAAAAAGCAGTACGAAGACATTGGGAGGGTCCATAAAAGATATCAGGCATTAAGGGAGGGTCTTTGTTTTCTGTACATTTGTGCTTCAGTGCATTCTGACACGCCTAAAGTAATCAGTGAAACTGAAGGTTCCAGATCCACTTACCGGTATATCAGATTTGATTTTATAACACACTGTCAGTTGAAGGAGACATGTCATTGTGGCTTCACGATTTTCACAGACTGTATTTCAAAACTTTTGTTAGTGATGCCATGAAGATGTATAACCTGATTGCACGAGAATGTTCATAACCTCAAACCTGTGATGTGATACCCGATACCTGATACCCGATACGTGATACCTGATACCCTATTCCTTCTACCTACAATAATTTGAAAAACAACAACTATAAGTCAAATTAAATTTTCCTGTAATTATTTCAACAACTTTAAAGACAATTAACTATTTGTTAGGCAGTAACTATTTGTAAGATGATTAGATATTAATGTCTGTATAAAGTTTGATACTTTTTCTCAGCCAATGATTTGATAGTGGCAGTGTTTTAATGAAGATTGTGCGAGTTTCTGTTATGATGATTATGATAATTATGTTTGACAAGATTCTTTCCCTCCTTCCTGATTTAGGGGCGGTGGGGTAGCCTAGTGGTTAAGGCGTTCGCTCGTCACGCCGAAGACCCGGGTTCGATTCCCCACATGGGTACAATGTGTTAAGCCCATTTCTGGTGTCCCCCGCCGTTGATATTGCTGGAATATTGCTAAAAGCGGCGTAAAACCAAACTCACTCACTCACTCACTCCTTCCTGATTTATTGAAGTTGTCCATTGCATGGTTCCAAATGATACAAGTACATATGCCTTTTGTCCAACCAGAATGTCAAGAATCACCCCTACATCGAAGTATATACCTGTTGATACATGTACATGTAAATCTTGAAATTAATGTGAGAGTGAATTAAATGTGAAAAATGTGAGTGGCCTTTGCTTGCGTTTATTAACTTTCGCAATAATTTTTGAAATGTCTGTTAAAAGTGATGGCATGATTTTGGAAATAGGAAATGCAACTTCACTGGACCACCTCCTTGGCCTGCTAGCTGTGTCCAGATGGAAATGGGGACGATTTTAACTCCAGGGTCAAGTCTCATTAATATTGACTCACAGTTTTGGCTTCGACCAGCAATTTAGAGATGCATTAATTTCAAGATTTACAGTTTTTGTGGACTTGGGTTCACAAATTCCATACATGTATTTACTTTTTTTGGGGCAATCTAATGATCATTTATTCAATTATTGTAACAAATACTCTCTAACTGCACCTGGTACAGGAGGTTTGTATTTTTGTTACGATTTTATCGTCGACTTTGGATGTCGTCATTGTAGGACCACCATCACTTTGATGAGCCGCCATATAGCTGGAATATTGCTGAGTGCGGCAGAAAACTAAACTCACTTAGATGAGATGACAGGGAGTGGTATATTTGATGGTTAAAACTGGGTCACTGTGACCTCTCAAACTCTGTACCCATATATCGATGTGGTCAGATATATAAGGTATATCATAGAGTTTGTATCTGATGTCTGGGTGAAACCTGTGTCAGGAAAATAGGTCACTGCAACCTACTTTTCTGATTTCAGGATGAACTACTTTCTCTAATCTGAGGTGTTAATTGGTTGTCTTTGTTAGCCTCCTAAATGTTCATTTTGTTTCGGGTAAATGTCAGATAATGGACTTAATAATTTGTTTTCTTCTGTTTTATTAACACTTTTTTGGTTAAATATGTGTTATCAGGGTCTCATTTCATGTTTTCGTTAAATTTGGCTGTTGGCTGATTTTGTCTTTATGTGATGTGGCATGCTTACAATGATATATAGGTATGTTAACAAAATGGCTATATGTTTACCCAAGATATATCATCCCCAAACTGATTGAAGTACTATATATATGAATGGAAACATGTACTGTTTGCGTCGCTGTATACTATAACAGTGAAGTACATCTTAAGGGCAGTATTACCTGCAGAAGCGTGAGGTCTGCCATTAAATGCCAGAGGAAGTATCATGACTGAATAAACCAAAGGTTTCTGCACAAAATAGTGCTGTACTACTCACACTTTGCTAAGGATCACAAAAATTCACAACTTTACTTAAATGTAGATTCATAGTTTGAAATTGTATCCATTTAAAACTGGGTAAATGATAATATGGTAACCTCTCTTTAGGCAAACAGTCACTTTAATCTAACCTTATGCACTTGATACATGAGTAACCAAAAAATGGTTTTCATGGCACCAATCAACCATTTTGTAAATCGAGTCAATGACAAGTACACAACTCCTGTCAATAGCAGGTATGGGATCCACAAGATGCAGTGACATACTGAAGCCTAGGACCCATGCTTACAATAAGCTTTGATATTTAAACCAAATTTGACCCCACATCATAGTTTTCTGTTGAATCCATGATTTGATTCCTAGCAAAGTGTGAATAGTATATTTCAGCTAAATGGAGAGAATATGTCATATATATCAAAATGAACAAAAGAATAAGCAGCAGCAAGAGTTGAAGATGTGCTTAAAGCTTGACATTAGCGGTGCTTGCTTCATGAATAGCGATGACGTAGAATATGACATGACAGGACCAAGCCATTAACGTGACACCATCAGTGAAATGCATCCTGCTGTCAAGTTGGATCGGTGCAACTATGTCACTAATATTTATTATTATGGTTAGGGGTGGTGGGGAGGCTCAGTGGTTAAAGTGTTGGCTCGTCACCCCGAAGACCAAGGTTCGAATCCCCACATGGGTACAATGTGTGAAGCCCAGTTTTGGAGTCCCCCGCCGTGATGTTGCTGGAATATTGCTAAAAGCGGCGTAAAACCAAACTCAGTCAGTCAGTATTATTATGGTTACAATTCTAAGTATTTAATGTCATGGCTACAATTAGTTTGTTTAGTCTGGATGATTTGAAATCAGTCTGTTTGTTAGGTCACTCGTAATATTAAAATGACAAAATCTTAGATAGATGTATTGTTAGATAAACTAAACACGATCAAAGAGATTATAGTCAAGGCAATGCTAAAAGTTTGATGTCTCCATTAAAGAACAAGTCGTATGTTCGGAGGTTGTTTTCAAGTTGTTTTCACAACTAGATAGCAAGTGTGATATCTGAATAAAGTATGTCAATGACATTGAGGGTGGTGGGGTAGCCTAGTGGTTAAAGCGTTGGCTCGTCACGCCAAAGACCCGGGTTCGATTCCCCACATGGGTACAATGTGTGAAGCCCATTTGTGGAGTCCCCACCCTCTTATTGCTGGAATATTGCTAAAAGCGGCGTAAAACCATACTCACTCACTCAGTGACATTGATATCGTCATATTCCAGCATGCATGTGAATATTGTGCTTGAGTGATAAGCTTGTGCATGAAGTATCCCATGTTGTCATGAGCAGGGAAACCCTGCTTCCTGCATGTTGTAAATCCCTTATGTGTCACCTCTTTTGCCATATTTAATCGGAAATAACCAATTTTTAAGATGTTAAGTTTTATTCAAAGATTCCCTTTTTCATTGTTTATGCAAATTCATTTTTAATGCTAAATGTTACTGTTGCACTCCAAAACCATTGTTTTGAAAGTCAAAGTAAGATATGCTTCAAGCCTATTTCAGCATCGGTAAGTTAACTGAGTGTCATTCACGGTAAGCAACATTGCAAAATCTACATGGTATAACCAGGTACTGAAGGCTTACAAAATTGTGCTGTCTATCCTGCGTTACCTCCCTTTGCACAAGCGTTTAAATAGCTAGTTTCTCACAAGGAGGCGCTGTGAAGAAAGCGATGCATAGAGTGGAATCCGTCCAGAGTTATGAAAACTTTCCCCAGCCTGGAAGACACTGCGAATTGTACGAGAACTTTCCCCCGTTAATATCGCAAGGTAAAGTCAGCTGAACAACGATGCTGCCGTTTTCAGCATCTGCATGTTGGGGTGGATGAAGGCGGAGATGTTGTCCAACTTTGGCTGGTGCTTGTAATGAATACTGCAGATTATGGTGTGCTGTTCTGAATAGTATGGACTTTGGATATTTTTATTATTTAACAGTTATTATCATTTTTAAGATAAAACCGACTGGCGCCTGTTTTAGAATCTCTTTTGGTATTTGACTTCCTAGTTAACCTTACATGTCACTGGTAGATGGAAGTGGGGTTGGATTTCTTGCTATTTTTTATGAGGAAATTTACTTTAAATCAACCTTAGCAACATTTTAATCTGCCAGTGGTTCCTGTATTGTTGAATATTTTTATTGAGATTGGAACCTGGATGTGTAGATTTCACATATCCCACAGCAAGAGTGAATTGAGATAGTTGATGGGAACAACTGAGGATCAATTCAAAGCTGATTCCCAGGTACAGTTTAAGCAGCTAATTCTATCCCCAGAGCATCATTTTAATTAAAGAACCACTAAACTTTGTTTTTTGTTACTCTTTTAACCATTACATATGAAAGATTTGTGGTTAGTCTTATGCGGAACACCAAATTTATTCTTTAAAAACTTGTGGTTAATTAATACCGAGCGATTAAAAGTGGCCAAAAAGTCGCCTGCTTCCCTCTCGCCAGCCAACGAAACCACAGACAGGTTACGTAACTCTGTCGCCAGAGCACTGCAGTGACGTCATATGAGGAACGATTTTCAGTTAGTTGTATAGAAAGTGTGTAGCACGCTCATCATTTTGATGATTTCTCGACATCAACGACGACATGCCGAATCGTTGCTTTGTCGTCAATTGCTCCTAGGGGTCGGGCGATGGTGTCCCCATGCACAGATTTCCACAGGACCCCGCAGTTCGTGCTAAATGGGTTATGTTTGTGAGTGCGAAGCGAGCGTTGTGGAATCCTGAAACGATATCTTACTTGTGTTCAGATTGCTTCACGGAAGTTAAAGAATCAAAACTACTTACTAGTTGTAGTAAAATATGCATATGATTGATGACCATAAAGATTTTCTATGACACAACTTGTAACATAACGATTTCTTCCTCGGAAGTGAGGTTGTGGTCGAAGTAACAATAATATTGTAAGTACCGTATATGACCGTCTATAAGCCGATCCCATGGATAAGCCGACCCCCAAACTTGACCCTCAAAATCAGTGTCAAAATCATATCTCTCATGGATAGGCCGACCCCCCACGATGGGACGCGGCCAACAGAGACCAGAGTACCCGGTAAGTATGTTCCATCAACGACGAGACACCATTACGAGAATATTACATAATAAAGATTACCGGTGTTTGTTTACCTTTTTTTAACGATCACTGCTTGCATCAACAACGAGACGCCATTTGGAAAGTGGATATACAGCGTAAGTGTTGGTGAGAATATTACATAATAAAGATTACCGGTGTATTGTGGCAACATGTGTTTGTGTTCCTTTTTATATCCCGACGATCACTGCTTGCATCAACAACGAGACGCCATTTTGTGAAATCGGTGAGTATGGAGAGAAAAAGTACCATCGGTAAATAAAAACTGAAGTCAACTTTTGTTTCAAAATATATTATTTAAGTGTCCATATTTCATCTATATATATATGACAATAAGAAAATTATAGTAGTATTATATTGACACCCACCTCGCTGCCACGAGAGAAATTGTTATGATATACTCTATGTCATGCAAAATCCTATTGGCCATCAATAAAATTCATACTACTACCAGTAGAAAGTAGTTTTGATTTTGTTACTTGGTGAAAACAAACCTAAATACCATTTATCCTCAGACTGGCGGATGTTCCCGACAGGGCGCCACCATTTTTAAAAATAAAAAAATCTGTTAGAATTAATGAGATTATAGTTTGTTTTCATCAAGTTAGAAAATCAAAACTACTTTCTACTCGTAGTTAAATATGTATTGGAATCATAACCAAACGGATTTTGCATGACACAACTTATAACATAACGATTTCTTCCACGGAAGCGAGGTGGGGGTCGAAGTCACAATACTGCTTGATAAATTTCTTGCTACATTCCCATGGTTAATGTCCACTCACCAGTATGTAGATACTAGTCAATGTGCGTCTTTATATTTGGTCTTATAATCCTAATTAGTTTATTATCACACTTGTATGCATTTTGAAACTAAATAAAAAGCAGACGATCTGCTGATACTTATAGTGAAGTTATTACAGAACTGTAATATCTAGACATTTTATAGTTTGCCAGTGTGAAACATAATTCGCACACACACCCTAGTGCATGTTGTCTGTCTCATTACACTTCACGGCTGAAAACAATGATTCTGTTGAATGCTACGACAAATGAATAAAAACAAAATGCAAATATTAAAATTAAAACAGATTAAAGTTATAGGAACAATATCAGGCCATTACCTTGTTCGAGGAATGTATCCATCAATATCCACAAAACTGTTCCAAATGATGTGTCTTTTAACAGTTTAATATACTGAAAAGTGATAAATCTTTTCAGGTATTGGTGTATAGTCTCATTGGTCACCCAAGATAGCACACCTGGCAACTAATTGCATAATGTCCGCCTTTCTTTAAAACAGTAATTTAGTTAGCCAATAATGGGCAATCAATCAATGTATTGCCGGTTAATACTTTGAAAGAAGGACGTTGTTTTTACGCAGACACCGACACGACAGAGTGTATTCAGTATAGATTAGTAAATCTACATACATAAACACTACCTTTTGACAATTCCGCTGTGTAAGATAAAAGTAATTAATCAATCAGCGTGTTATTGGTTAATCCTTTGATCGATGTTTATAATGTTGAATATTTACTCCAGACACAAGAAATGCCAAATGGGAACCTTTGTCGGGTAATCTAAGTGTGTTACCACTAATTATACCTGTTATAAATTCATTAACTGACCATCAAGTGAATGATGACAAATAACATGTGTAGGTTTATACCACCTAACACGGGTTACAACGAGGGAGTATTAATTGCTGTATTGCATGTGAAAACTTATGGGCCGACACTGTTTTGAGAATACAAACAGATTTTTACATGACATGATTAAATATCGAGGTAAAACAACACAGAAATGGGATCAATTTGGATCAGTCATTATACAACTAGGGCCTAACGACACCAATCGATTTTGACAGAATCGTCTATGAAAACAAGTTGTAACTCGGAAACTAGGCAAAGCAGGAGACAAAATTAGATGACAGTAGATTGTGAGAACATATAGCTTTCATTTTCCACAACAATTGTCACGATTTCAGGTTTATACAAGCCTGTAAACACGATAATTTACCCCCTAAAATGTAGATGAATTCTGCATCGGCTCTCAAAACTATTCCTCATATGACGTCACAGAGGCGCGCCGCTCTGATTGGTTGAAATTTCGTTCGCGGGTGAGAATTGTGCACTGTTGTCAAAAAGGTCGATTTAAGTCAATTAAAGGTCGAAATGAGTAGTTTTAATGACAGGGTTTCATTTATAACGATGCCAGTTAGTGATTTATGTATTTGTACCCCCTAGGGTTTATGTGACCTTTAAACACTGGGTCACTGTTGCCATGGTGATTAGTGACTGGGACACTGTTGCTATGGTAATTGATGTCTTGTGTTATTGTTACTATGGTAACTAATGACTGTTACACTGTTGCTATGGTAATTGATGTCTTGTGTCATTGTTGCTATAGTGATTAGTGACTGGAACACTTGCTATGGTAATTGATGTCTTGTGTCATTGTTACTGAGGTAATTATAGACTGTTACACTGTTGCTATGGTAATTGATGTCTTAAATTGTGTCATTGTTACTATGGTGATAAATGACTGTGACACAGTTGCTATGATAATTGATGTATTGTGTCATTGTTACTATGGTGATTAATGACTTGGACACAGTTGCTATAGTAATTGATGTCTTGTGTTATTGTTGCCAGTGGCGGATCCAGAAGAGGGGTTCAGGGGGTTTATAAAAAACAACAACCAAACCCCCCCCCACCCACCACCTCCCTTTTGAAAATAACTAAAGACCACATTGAACTTAACGTTTTGCCATGATGGGGTTCAGGGGGTTCAGGGGGTTCGAACCCCCTGAACACACACGCACACACACACACGCGCGCACACGCACGCGCGCGCGCGCACACACACACACACACACACACTTACTTTCTGTATCCGCCTATGGTTGCTGTGGTGATTAGTGACGGCGCCATCATTACCATGGTAATACAAGAGTATGCCTTCTCCGCTATTGTAATGCTAGTCTTGCAGTGGGTTGCAAAGGACACTTGTATTCTGTTTTATGACCAATTGTATTTTGGTGGCTTTGAAAGAATATGTTTTTAGTTTGTGTTTCTTGTAATGTATTGGTAGTAGGTTCATGGACCTATTTTTTAAAGAATATTTTAATTTTATGGTGACTGATTTAAATGATAATAATACTGAACCAAGAAGAGGTTAACCACAGTGACTGAAATAGTAGTGTAGTGGTTGCTATCTACAGCCCAGAAACCCTCAAGGGGTTAGAGGGGGGCGGTGGGGTAGCCTAGTGGTTAAAGCGTTGGCTCGTCACGCCGAAGGCCCGGGGTTCGATTCCCCACATGGGCACAATGTGTGAAGCCCATTTCTGGTGTCCCCTGCCGTGATGTTGCAGGAATATTGCTAAAAGCGGCGTAAAACCAAACTCAGTCAGTCTGATGGTGGGCATTGTTTCACAAGATGCCAGCGACTTAATTGCCATATAGTGGGAATATTACCGACTGTGTAGTATAACAGTAAACACACTCCAATCACACGTTTATTTCCTACCTTGTAGAGTTTTGTTAACCTGTTAGCTTGGGTCCATTGAATGTGCTGTAGATTGTTCCTGTGTATAAGCTTTGTGCTAACCACCTTGTCTCTTTGTTTTCAACAGAAAATCCCAACCCAGGTCCAGGCAAGCCATCAGCTGTAAGTGTTGACAAATAATTTTTCGTCCATTTAAAAAGTGGTCAAATGTAACATGATATATTTGGGATTACACTTTCTCGGTAAAGTACAGATTCTAGTCGTTTTGTGGGTTGAGTTTGTCGAGTGGAAGCAGTGGTGGCTGAGTCGGTTAGACGGCTGACTTTGTGTGCTGGCATTTATGTGTCTGGTTCTGAGAGTGTGGGTTCGAATCCCAGATGGGACTCAACCCAACAAAAGTAAGAAAATCTGTACTTTACTGCAAAAGTGTAATCTCAAATATAAAGTGTCGCATGGACCATGGTCTTCTTCCATCATGTGGTCCTCCTCTGTCACATGGTGTTCTTCCATCACGTGGTCCCCAATAGTCACGTGTGTCTGTATACAGTCAGGTAACGACATCATGCCCATGTGTAACTCATTAAAGTCAGATGAGCCGACTGTGAGCGTTGTGACCACCATTGCTTGAAATTGAAGCAGTGTAGAGTAGAATCTGCAAGCTAGAATCTGAGTGGACATGAGCACTTGCTGGAACTGGATCGCGGCTCAGTTCATTAGTTAAACATTCTGATCATAAAGCTGACATTTGTGTTCATACAAGATGGTAGGACCAAGTGTAGGTTTTACAAACCTGTAAAGTGTTCAGGAAGGGTTTTATGATGTGTTAGCCAGTTGTTACTCCAGCCCCATGGCAGGGCCCACAAAGGCTACACACAATGCTGACATGCTGGGAATTGAACCAGCCCGGGTTTTGCTCTTACCGCAAAGCTGCCTCCCTTTGTTAAAAGTTGACTCACCCTCCCTATAGGATGGCTGTAATGGTATAAGTAGGGATTGTCTCATTATGCAGCCTTTGTAGGGGTGAATTCACATGGCAGAGGCATTGATGTCAGTTTGTGCTTGGTACACCATTGAAACTGGTTGGAATTAACAAGGTATTAACTGAACGTTTTTCTTGTACACTTGTCACACATTTACATATTACATAACATGGTCAGCTGCATTCGTCACCACTCGCCCCTTTCCGTAACCTCCAAGAAGACTCGTCCCCCTCTCGATGCTTGTTATGTGCGAAAATACGACAAACCAATCAGAATGCGCGTAAATGACTGCGGTGCTTTGGTAAAAATAATCCTGAGTACTTAAATCGTTTATGGCATTATGTCATTGTTTAAAAAATCATGACAAATATATATCGTCATATCGAAAGTACAAAGAACTTAGCTAACAGGATTTTGCTGCCTGTTATGAAGTTTTCGCTAAGAATCATGCGATTGACAGTGAGAGATTCAAGTACACGCACGTGCGTTTGTCGACATTACGGCTATCATGTTTTCAACTGAGCGTATTTCTGACTATATTGCGGGCTTGCTATGGAGATTGTACGTGCGCTTCCAACAATTTTAGGAAATGTAATTATAAATCGCTACAAGCTTTAAAACATTAATATTAGACATATATCTGCATGTAACTAATCAACTTTAATCTTTAACATTGGGCATATATTTCACATCATTCATGGGGTCATTCATATATTTGTCAGCGAATTCATTCAAAATTCCACTTGGGGTATGACAGCAAGGTTACACGAATGTTCAGTTTGAGAAATATTTTAAAGTCATTTTTGAGTTTCAGCTTTGGGATTTCATGTAGCTTTAATAAATGTTATTTACATATTTAATAAAACAAATCCCATTTGTGATTATCAAACCCTATTTAGAAATATCATTGGAAATATAAGGTGAACATCTGGTAATAATTACGTCAGAGTAAGTCTTTAACAAATAAGGTTTTCTCCTTCTTTTAGTTGTATCAAAAAGGTTTAATTCTTTAAAACATAAACGGCAATACAATGTATGATTACTTCGGTGATATTAAGTACCATTGGAATCAAACAAGAATAGAGTTATCGTTCCTGTTTAAAGTAGTTCTGATGTTCATGCGCCAATATGAAATCCTTCCCGAGGGGCCCGAGTCGCTATTCGGCTTGACCCGGAATAACACGAGTTGGTCACGAATGGGTCAGCGGCTGCCATTTTGTTGTCATGGATACAGGGGAGATAACCATGCAAGAGGAAAAAAGACTTCCTCATTTCCAAGTTTTGTTGATCAGTTTTGAAGGGAAACATCATAGATGGTTGCTCTGAAACCAATACGAAGGGTAATACAACTGCATATATATATTGTACCAGGTATACCAGACACTGACAAAATATTGCATTTGGAAGCATTTGAAAATCATATTGTGGTACACTGTGCAGTCCTGCTGTTCAATATAGTACATGTATATTGTGATTCACACATCGCTGGTTTAGAGAATTTAGGCAGCTAACAAAACATCAACAAAGACATATTCAGTTATACCATATTCAGTTAGTCCATATTCAGTTATACCATATTCTGTTGTTCCATATTCAGTTATACCATATTCAGTTAGTCTATATTCAGTTATACCATATTCTGTTGTTCCATATTCAGTTATACCATATTCAGTTAGTCCATATTCAGCTATACTATATTCAGTTATTCTTTTTTGTTATTCCATATTCAGTTACACCATATTGTCATTGACACTATATCTGATTGACCACTCAAACTGACGTTAACACTTTTGAGGATGTAACATTGATATATTTGTATAATCATTGTGTAATCCTACCTGGTGTGAACATATCAGCATATATATATAATACCTTATACACTGACTCAGTATTCATCTGATGAAGGACCTCAATATAAATACAGTCTTTGAAGGTCCAGGTTACAAGTGGTCTTGATGTGTCTATCAGTGAAGGTGCATCATGACACGTGTGTACCATTGTAGGTGTATCGTGACACCTGTGTGTAAGAGTGTAGGTGTATCAAGACACCTGTGTGTACCAGTGTAGGTGTATCATGATACATGTGTGTGTATTAGTGTGGGTGTATCGTGACACCGTGTGGATCAGTGTAGGTGTATCATGACACCTGTGTGTGTATCAGTGTAGGTGTATCATGACATGTGTGTACCAGTGTTGGTGTATCATGACACCTGTGTGTATCAGTGTTGGTGTATCATGACACCTGTGTATTAGTGTAAGTGTATCATAGAACCTCTACGTGTACCAGTGTTGGTGTATCATGACATGTGTGTGTACCAGTGTAGGTGTATCATGACACCTGTGTGTATCAGTGTTGGTGTATCATGACATGTGTGTGCATCAGTGTAGGTGTATCATGACACCTGTGCATCAGTGTCTCTGTATTTTCACCTGACAGATGTAAGTAGTTGTGAAATTGTGAGCCAGTAGTATGTTGTGCTGCTTCAGGATGGTGCTCCAGAGTTGCCCTCTCGGGGCTACAGCGAGGAGGGTGAGTTACGTCACGTATTGCACGTTTGCACAGTTTATGCACTAACATTTGGCTGACTTGTATGGCATCAATCTAATGTGCTGGGCTGACCTTCATCACTGATACTTGTATGGCGGCTTGTGGATGACGTCAATAACTCCAGGTGTCATGATGTTGGGGCTTGTGTCTTGGTCATGTTGCATGACACAAATAATCTTCACTTCATTTGAGTTTGTGTGGCATTTTATTGATTTCATATTGTTCTGTAAGATACACATTGTATGTTAACACAATCGGTATCACTCATATTGCATGGCACGAACAAAGCATGTGTGAAAATCTATATTATTGATCTTCCAAACAAAGCATGTCTCACAATATTTATTGTAAATCTATCTTTTTGTCGCAGACGTTCTGATGTAGAATATATCCCTTGTGTCACAAGAAGGAATGCATGTCCAAAAGGCACGAATATATTCCTTGTGTCACAATAAGGATTTGTGTCCAAAAGGCAAGAATATATTCCTTGTGTCACAATAAGGATTGCAAGACTATATTCCTTGTGTCACAATAAGGATTTTGTGTCCAAAAGGCAAGAATATATTCCTTGTGTCACAGTAAGGATTTTGTGGCCAAAAGGCAAGACTATATTCCTTGTGTCACAATAAAGATTGCATGTCCAAAATGCATGGGTTTATCTTGAACTGAACATTGGCCTGTTATTAGTCTTCAATCAAATGTCAGCTTCATAAGCTAAATTAGAAATCTCCCAATTCATATTACTTCCTTGTATATCAGGAATAACAGAATTAATAAAGAAGAGGCTTATATGCTCAGTTTTAAATCACTGTAATGTTAATTTAAAATTCGCGCAAGATTAATGCAGCATCTAGACTCCATTTCTACAGGCCAGAATGATGTAAAATTGCTGATTTCAGCATTAAACAATATTCTCTGAATCTCAGTGTGTCTAACTCAAATACCTGTACTAGTATATTGTTATGCTGTTGAAAGATATCCTGCAATGACTGGAATACATGCCTGTTGTCAGACATTAACTTGTACTTGAGATGGATTATTGACACCACTTTTGGTGGTGAAATGCAGAAATATAGGACATGCATGTATGGGTAATACAGAAATATAGCACATGCATGTATGTGAAATGCAGAAATATAGGACATGCATGTATGGGTAATACAGAAATATAGGACATCCATGTATGTGAAATGCAGAAATATAGGACATGCATGTATGGGTTATACAGAAATATAGGACATCCATGTATGTTAAATGCAGAAATATAGGACATGCATGTGTGGGTAATACAGAAATTTAGGACATCCATGTATGTGAAATGCAGAAATATAGGGCATACATGTATGGGTAATACAGAAATATAGGACATCCATGTATGTGAAATGCAGAAATATAGGACATGCATGTATGTGAAATGCAGAAATATAGGACATGCATGTATGGGTAATACAGAAATTTAGGACATCCACGTATGTGAAATGCAGAAATATAGGACATGCATGTATGGGTTATACAGAAATATAGGACACCCATGTATGTGAAATGCAGAAATATAGGACATGCATGTATGGGTTATACAGAAATATAGGACACCCATGTATGTGAAATGCAGAAATATAGGACATGCATGTATGGGTAATACAGAAATTTAGGACACCCATTTATGTGAAATGCAGAAATATAGGACATGCATGTATGTGAAATGCAGAAATATAGGACATGCATGTATGGGTAATACAGAAATATAGGACATCCGTGTATGTGAAATGCAGAAATATAGGACATGCATGTATGGGTAATACAGAAATATAGGACACCCATGTATGTGAAATGCAGAAATATAGGACATGCATGTATGGGTTATACAGAAATATAGGACACCCATGTATGTGAAATGCAGAAATATAGGACATGCATGTATGGGTTATACAGAAATATAGGACACCCATGTATGTGAAATGCAGAAATATAGGACATGCATGTATGTGAAATGCAGAAATATAGGACATGCATGTATGGGTTATACAGAAATTTAGGACATCCATGTATGTGAAATGCAGAAATATAGGACATCCATGTATGGGTAATACAGAAATATAGGACATGCATGTATGGGTAATACAGAAATATAGGACATGCATGTATGGGTAATACAGAAATGTAGGACTTCAATTGCATGTGGAAATATTCTGTTCCAGTAAATGTAGAATGCACTCATGAGAGATTTCCAACGTATGAAATAAAACAATGTAAGGCTGTATAATAAGGAAACATAAGTTTTGCAGATATGTGTATTCAGGAAATGTAAACCTTCAGTGCATATGAAAACATATGAAATTTCTTGTATGTGTAACATAAAATATGCCCCAATCAACTCAGTCTGATATTCCCCATCCTCAAGGTTTTGATCTATGCTATGTCTTTTGTCTAATGTCATCATATTGTATCTGTGATCCTACCCTGATGATCCCACCCTGCTGACCGTCCTTTACATCCTAATGGCATCTGCAGCCAGTTCACTTATTTTGTTGCACTTTCCTATTACATTAATTCCTTCTTATTTATATTCCAGTTCAATCATGTTCACTAATTAATAATGCATTATGTCACTGATATTCTAATCTTGAAAGTCCTGAAGTTCATCCCCTTTTTATGAAAGGATCTGATGCTTCAAAGTTACACCAAGATGGTAGATATCTACATTGTGTGTCACAGTGTGCACTTTACTCACTTAAAGCTAACCTGCAGTGATTTAACCTCACCCAACTCACTCACTCACCCACTCAAATGCTTTTCACCAAATTCCACTCCATTCAAATCCTTTTTTCACTATTTTGAACCCTCTTCAATTCTGTTTATATTTCTGATATCCCATTTTCAAATGTTTACCATCCTATTCCAATCCTTTGTTTTCATATTTCTCTTTGATTCAAGTATACTTTTTTTAACTGACTGCCCTATATTTTGGGGACCAATTTAACCCTTTTCATAGCAGCATATATTCTTTATTAGTCAATAAAGATGTAAAGGTATCTAACAAAATTCATATCCAAATACTAATCAAACTTTCCAAATTTTCATTTATTAGTAAAAGAATTTTAATTTCATTGACCTTCTTGTGCCTCAGATAGTTACACGAAAGCATGTTTTAAAAAACATATAAATTTTTTGAAAAAGTGAACGTTAATCCCAATATACGTCTTGTCGTGAACATCTTCCAGAGGCTACCACAGCTCTGTCTCCACCTCCATCCTCCGGGTTCGGGACAGTTGGGGCATTAGGCGGTGCCATTCCATCTGCCCATTCAAGACTTGACAGTTCTGGGGCATCATCGTCATCAAGGACCTTCGACTCTTCATCTTCCAACAGTCCTGTGATCCGAAGTGTAGCCAGCAGCATGGACAGCGTGTACTCAGAGATCTCAAGCGTGCAGCAGCCTCAGACAAGAATGGAAGTTGTATCAGCTAGTCGAGCGCCCAATCAACAGCAAGTCCAATCTCAGAATTACACTTCAGTTGGTGCCACATCTCGAAGTCCATTTGGGGTGATGAAGGATATGTTTAATGTGAGTGGGACAGGCAGGAGGTGCTTGGTAAAGAACTTAATGGTCTTTGGTTGACTGAATGTATGTGTCACCGTCACTGGGGCTCTTTAAACAACTTTTCAAAAAGTATGTATCAAGTTTGAAACACATGTTAGTATGTAAACATAATTTATTGATGCAACCTCCTTGAAAGATTTCAGTCAAGGCAAGTCTATAAAAGTGGTTTGGAGTCTGGGACGTTCTGAGACAATAGTATGGTACTTAGATAGTTCTGAGACGATAGTATGGGGCCTAGATTGTTCTGAGATAATATTATGGGGCCTGTATTGTTCTGAGACAATAGTATGGTGCCTTGATTGTTCTGAGACACTAGTAAGGGGCCTTGATTGTTCTGAGACAATAGCATGGGGCCTAGATTGTTCTGAGACAATAGTATTGGGGCCTGGGGCAATTTGCATTGTTATTCGGGGAAAATGGTCTGATGTCAAGGCCATTCTTATGCCTCAGTCATTCTGGGACAATGGTCTGGTGCCTCTGTCAACCTAAGAAAATGGTCTGGTGCCTCAGTCAACCTAAGACAATGTTCTGGTGCCTCGGTCAACCTAAGACAATGGTCTGGTGCCTCTGTCAACCTAAGAAAATGGTCTTGTGCCTCAGTCAACCTAAGACAATGTTCTGGTGCCTCGGTCAACCTAAAACAATGGTCTGGTGCCTCGATCAACCTAAGACAATGGTCTGGTGCCTCAATCAACCTAAGGGAATGGTCTGGTGCCTCGATCAACCTAAGGCAATGGTCTGGTGCCTCGGTCAACCTAAGACAATGTTCTGGTGCCTCGGTCAACCTAAGACAATGGTGTGGTGCCTCGGTCAACCTAAGACAATGGTCTGGTGCCTCGGTCAACCTAGGACAATGGCCTGGTGCCTCAGTCAACCTAACACAATGTTCTGGTGCCTCGGTCAAACTAAGGCAATGTTCTGGTGCCTCGGTCAACCTAAGAAAATGGCCTGGTGCCTCGGTCAACCTAAGACAATGGTCTGGTGCCTCGATCAACCTAAGACAATGGTCTGGTCCCTCGGTCAACCTAACACAATGCTCTGGTGTTTCGGTCAACCTAAGGCAATGTTCTGGTGCCTTGATCAACCTGAGACAATGTTCTGGTGCCTTGATCAACCTCAGGGAATGGTTTGGTGCCTCGATCAACCTAAGGGAATGGTCTGGTGCCTCGGTCAACCTGAGACAATGTTCTAGTGCCTTGGTCAACCTAAGGGAATGGTATGGTGCCTTGATCAACCCCAGGGAATGGTTTGGTGCCTCGATCAACCTAAGGGAAAGATCTGGTGCCTCGGTCAACCTAAGACAATGTTCTGGTGCCTCGGTCAACTGAAGGAAATGGTCAAGAGGAAATAAGCCAACTATATCAAGTCTGATAAACAAATGCTATGCTCAGAAAACTGTACTGCTATTTGTATACTATAGTACTGTCGGAAATAGAAAAAAACTTTTCTCATTTATCTCTACAATTTATGTAGTTGATATGTGAAAGTGTGAAATATCTGTTAATCTAAGTTCGGACTAACCACAGTCTCAGTGGTAGAGAGATAGGAAACGGAGAAAAGGGACTTTACTGAGGGGAAATTAGTGCAGAAATGAGCAATGCGGTTTTTTTCAAAGTCCAAGAAGACTTATTTGGAACAGACCATGGCTTTATGCAAATTAGTGTGCGACGATATTGTATTACAAAGGACACTTTTTAAATGCCCAATTTGAAATTAGACATAGATTCATTATAAATGATAGCTGACGTAAAAAAATAATAACTTTTATGCCGAAACTATTAAGGATGTAGGTACCATGCAGTCTCACTGTCACTATAAAAAGAAACAGATAGGAGCAAAAGCAAAGCATGGGGTCTGGCTTGGGATAGAGATATCAGCTAAGATAAGATAATCCTTTAGGTCAATTATACTGGGGAGGTACACGGCACGTCATCACAATTTACAAAATAATATCCAGTCCTGTCGATCTTCGGGTGGTCATGCCACCTATATACTACGATGCGTTTCTATGGTTTTCGGGTATCATACTCTGTTACATATCTCAACATAAACTATATGAAACTATATGAAAGAAAGACACATTAGATGTTAATCAATAGATGAGACATAGTCAACACACATGAAGAAGCACAAAATACCTTTGAGATGACCCCTTGTGCCGGTAGGCAGCACGTGCATTTCATGCCAGGTGAGTCAACGGTCCGTCGTCATACCTGGCTGACCGACCTAATTGCCATCTATAGTCTGACCTATTGTTTTCAGCAGCTATTTGTTTTTTTTTTCTAAGTTTTGCCCGATTTTACGAGTAAACGTGCTTTTCTGGATATCGTATTACGCATCCCACTGAACGCCCAGTTAGGCCGAAGTGGGTTATTTCGACATATGCCATTTGCAATTGTGTAAATTTTAGGGATACAGAGTAACAGTCTAAAAACAGTTTTTTTTCTATTTCCGACAGTACTATAGTCCCAGATTTTGAGAACATAAATTTTGGAAGAGAATCGTTGCAAGAATGAAAAACATAGATATGTTACAATTATGTGGTGAATTCAACTGAAAGTTTCAAATTTCCATTCTGCATGCCTGATGCAAAATCATGAACAAATGTGATGGTATTTAGGTGAATTTGTGAGTAATTGCTTTGGTAACAGTAGAAAATAAGCAGATTGACGTAATGTGTCTGATTATAATACATCACCCATTTATACATGTACAATCCCTGAAACTCCTGTGTGCTGCTGTCTGTACACGCCATTTTGTAAACTGGGGGGCATCAAATGTACACATAATCAAGTTATTTTCAAGATTCAAGATATTTATTTGTAGATAGGCCACATGACCCAAAGTATAAATGATATAACATAAGATTCTACAGAGTTACTTTGTTTGTTTTATGCAGTAAAATACATATTTAAGAAATTTAGCAAGATTTAACAGAAAGATGTTATTATTTGATTGACACAGGTTGGAAACGTTGTTATGATTACCACTACTACAGTTTGGGATGAAACGCTTTCTCTCTGTTACAAAATATACACAATCATACAGTACACGTCTTTCATTCAGCATTACATTACAGTGTTTACAAATGTAGGAGTTATTACTAAAGACATTTTTCTTACTCAGATATCCACTTCTAAATAAAGTTAATACATGTCTATGCTCGTGGGAATTATGTTTAACAAATATCTTTCACAGTTAAGCAAAGACTGATGAGAATGATAAAATGTGAGAGAATCACTCTGAAGAGAAAAGTGCCAGTTCTGATAAGGACATTCTTTAACACGTTGACTAAAGATATAAACAAAATGATCTGGATCCCCAACCTCTTGGCTTATCCAAACAAAACTGTAGCCATAAAGTTATTTTGTTGCTCACAGTTGCATATGTTTTTCACTCTGTGGATATTTATTTACTGGTGCTGCTTTTGTTACCATGTATAGTTCACCTGAATAACATGATCGTGTCAGTGTGTATTTGTGTGTTATCCATCGTTGTACGAGGGGGGTTCATTAAAGATTTCCCCTGACCCACTTCTGGTTGTCACATGTGTCGACTTGCATGTGATGTGGTGATAAGTGTGAACAAAAAGGTGAGCTACAAGGTTGTTCAAGTTTTAGTCCAACCAGTTTCAATGTGATCCAACCAGCTGCACAGATAACCCCGCCAGTTTGTTGCATCATCAGCCAGTTTTCATGTTCTAAAACCAGTTAGTTCCACTTATGCTTCAACCAGTTTCAAAGTAATCCCACCAGTTGCAGTAAAACCACAGGCAAACCACTTATAGTTATAATCATCCCGTGAAGATCCTGGCTAGAATTGGTGTTCACCAACACATGCTTGTCATAGGAGGCGTCTATTGCGTAGATCGATGCTCATGCTGTTGATCACTGGATTGTCTGATCAAGACAATCCTCAGAAAGGACTGATTGCAGAAGAATTTGTGCTATCACTAGTTTTGAAACCTTACGTCACGGACCATGATATGTACTCTAGAAATAGTCTCCAGCAACCCATGCTTGCAGTAAGAGGTGAGATGAAATTGGGTTTAACGTCGTGCTTGAGAATATTTCGCTCATATGACGACGTGTATGTGTGTGTATGTGTATGTGCGGCTGCTTGTACTAGCCCAGACTGAAGCTGGTTTTATAGTGCTAGCCCACTGAGATACCACGCCGCAGTGAAGCATGAATACCCCACCCAGACACATTATACTGACTGCAAGCTGACCAGTCCTTGTTGTACCCATTAATGCAGAGCGCCAGGCAGGGACCAACAAGTACCATATTTTAACGTCTTTTGGTATGACGCGGTCTGATGCAGGTCATCACAGTTGTGTAGATCAATGCTCATGACGTCAATCACTGGATGGTTCACTCTGACAAGATTATTCGGAGAAGGCGTCATATAGCTGGAAAATTGCTGAATGTGTCAATAAACACATAATCAAACAAACACTCAAACCGACATCACCCCATAGGTTCATTATTCCAGACACTTGTTAATCCAGACATCTCCAATAGGAAGTCTACCACCTGGATTAATCAGGTTACAATGATCATTGTTAGAGATTATGAAAGTAATTAATAAACGCATCTGTTTCCATTTCAGATTCGAAATCCACGATCGGGAGGTAAGCTGTTCTATGTAAAAAAATTCAGTATTGTTTTTCAATATTTATTTTCATTAGTTATCTTTTTCATGTTTTTTTAAGCTATGAAAATAGGTTTGTTCAAAGTTTCAGTAAATTTTAAAGTAGATTACTAGCCAACAGTGTTAACATAGTTATTCTGTTTTGGAATAAAGATGTATTGAATGTAGTGGTGGTCCGATTAATTGAAATAATCGAAGATTGGTCGCAATGACTAAACAACCAAGCAATCAAAGTTTTCTCATAATCGAACACAAACAATTTTGGAACACTTGTTTGCATTAACAACATTTTTCACAAGGTTGGTTTTGTCTGTTACATTTCATAAGCGCTACAAGCTCGTTACAAGTCAGGATTGAATTTATATTAAAGACTAAAGGACATTTATGTTCCTAACATACTAGTCATCCTTTGAATTTGCAAATGCATTTTGTGCAATTCGCTAAAAACTCATATAGGAAATACCTGTTTTTCTTTATTTTTTGTGCATTAACAAATCCAATTATTTTCGATGATTGATCGGTTGTAATGAACCAATCATTAATGATGAGATTTTAACCAATTCCCAACACTAATTGAATGAACATAATACATATTTGTCCATGCCAAATGTATGACCTTTACCATATGGAAATATTTTAGGGTAATAATGTATTCATCATATAATGACTTAATTTCCTTGAGTGGCTTTTTAGAAGCTGGGATGTACAATTTAGACCAAGTGTATGGATAACAACTTCTTTGTTTCGTGAGTGCTACGTTTTGATACAGATTGTTGTACTGGTGTCAAGCAGGAATGACAATGGTGCAAGAATTTGTATAAAACGTCGCACTCATGACATAAAGGAGTTGTTATCCATAAAGTTTGTGTGTATTATATAATGACTTGTAGCTATTTGCGGTGAAACATTGGGAGACTTATCTAAGCATATTCGGGATGTTAGTCAGTAGTTTGCTAAGAAAGAAGGCAACATGTCAACTGGTTCTTCTTTTTAGGAGATTAATAAATTTGGTATCACGACTTTATTAAACTGTTTAATGCATCGACACTGCCAATTATATCATAATTAATTCCAACAAATGTTTTGGTGCTCATGTTGAATGTCTTACATATGTCAGTAACAGAAGAGTGCAGAATTTAGAAACTAAATAGTGTTGTACAGCACTCTTAATCTGTCTCTGAACAAATCTGAATTCATAGCAGCAGATATGCTTAAGACTCTCCTAACAACCATACTTGTTTTACTGAGGACGGAATACATCCCTTCAGAACTGCACAGTTAATATGTGACGGGTGAGCTACAGTCCCTTGGCACTTGTTTGTGTCATTACATCAGAGTGCTACTTTTGATCCCACAAGTGAAGACTTTGGCCTGGTACATTTTCATGATAGTCCAGTTGTATTAAAGAAGAGTATATATAGTGTAGATGCGTGTGTGTGTTATATTTATGTGTGTGTTATGTTCTGTTTCAGTGCAAGTAGTACAAGCTGTACCAGGTGTGTACAGATTCAGAGGCCAGGATGTAGGTAAGCTTTTGATGCGCATTGAGCTGACACACACTGCTGAGGTGAAATACCGTTCAAAGTCTCGATCAGAGTCATGTTGAAAGTCACGTTCAGAGTCACGATCAACGGTTATTGCAGTAACAGCCACGTGTTTCATGGATTTCTTACACACCCGTGGGTAAGAAACCCATGTGAGAAAACTGGTATCACACATATGTGTGAGATCGATTTCTAATCCCGTGATTGGCTACTCCATGGTGATGACCTAGGGTCAGGTTATGACGGACTACTTTCCTGATTGAAATTCATTCATAAGTTTCTCGTGCTTCAATCGAATGCAGACCTGTTACTCATGCCAAACACTTTAAATATCTGTTCAGCTGTCGCCTACCGTATTTGTGCGACTGTCTTGTAAGTATGCATGTATGAAATAAACCGAACTTAATTTAGATAGTAACATGTACATATTTTCTTTTCTTTTTTCCTTTGTCGTCTGCTACCGTAGTTGCTGCAGATTATGCATAGTCACGACTTAAAAATGGCTTCAACAATAAGTAACATCTGTGTAAACGATTACGTGAAGATCGATGGTAAAGACAAAGGGCGTGTTATCTCCATTGTGGCTCCCCTTGAAACATACAACATGTACAACATTAGAACAGGAGAGATGCGACAGGTTTTAAGGTATCGCCTTACGAAATTACCTGACACGGTAACGTCAGTGCCAGTTTGTAGTGAGATCAATTTACCTTCTGACTTAATTGATGAACTGATGAAGGATGAATTTTTACCGATGAACCTGGTGATTGTAACGATACGGATCGATCCCCAAACCCTGAACAACTATATGATCATTCTCAAATTGACAAACTCGTTCATGACAACCAGAACCGAAACACACAATGTAAAACAATGTACAACATGAGGCATTTGCAAGGGTTCATGATTTTAAATGGCGACACATGTCCTATCGAGTCCATACAGCCAACAGAACTTTATGACATTTTGTGTACATTTTTTATTAGCCTCAGATAGGAAGATGGTAGCAATTATGAACCATCTACAGTTCGCGGGATGTTGTCCAGTTTTGACAGGTACCTTAAGTGAAAGCACTACTGTTCATCACTTATCAATGATCGTGAATTCGAAAAGTTAAACACTGTCATCAAAACTCTATGAAACAAAACAACTTGGTCCTCACGATCCCGGATCCATTTTGAACACCACTCATTTTGGGATCTGTAGTGTCAAACCACACACTGACATGAAATGGGGGAATATTGCACTTAAAACTGACACAGATGATAGAGAATTTCTTGAATTCACAGAGAGGCGGTCGAGAACATGCCAAGGGGATAATCCTTTGGGTATCCGTAACATGCACCCCAAAGCATGGGCGACTAATGATGAACGTTATCCAGTATCATGTACAAGCTGTACTCAAGCCTCCGCCCTGCAGGGTACTCCAGTCCAGATACACCTTTCTATATTGCCACTAACACCAAGGAACCATCTAGCAAATTCCCCTGGTTCAAACGACAACCTGTTGGTATCAATAAACTGAGTTCTATTATGAGATGAATGTCAAAAAATGCTGGCTTTGAAAACAGGAACTTCACAAACCATTCAGCAAGAAAATTCCGTGTCCAAAAACTGTCTGATGAAAATATTCCTCCAACTCGCATTATGCAGATATCAGGTCATCGTAACATGCAGAGTGTAAACAACTTCAGTCAAATTTCATCCTCGCAACACCGAAACATCAGTCACATCCTTAGTGGCAGTTTCGAGCGCCGAGAAAGCAAGCAGGCTGTGTCAAGGAAGAGTAGCTTCCCTTCAACTGTGAACGTAACCTCCGCAATGTCACAGTCGAGCACAAAGGTTACATTTAATGACAAACTCTCCTCAATATTTTCAGCTCCGGTGTATGGGGGTACATTCAACATTAACTTTTACGGAAGTGCAAGTCCCCGACGTGCGAAGAAATCTAAGCTATCCTCCGATGACGACTGTATTCAAATTTAATGAGCGTCACCTAGCACATGTTCGGAACGATAATAATGACATCACACTGAGAAATTAATTTCACTTGACAGAGAACCATATACAGTTGCAAAGTCATGTTTTTAAGTGTTTAATAAAAGTTCTTTGATCTTATCTGTTTACATCATTGTTGTTGCCTTAAAAATGCACAGATATGACTGATACTCTTTTGTGGAGGGTTACACAATGTATGTGTAGTAAGTAGTCTGCTGAGTGAGTCACTCATTCATGACGTTGTGTTATGTATCAATGCGCCGCTACAATCAGAGAAAGGGCAAAATATGCATCGATTTGATCCAAAAGTGGTGTGATTTTAGGTGTGTAAGAAATAGATTACTGTACTCGTGTCTGTCAGATACCATTTATCTTACAACTTGTTGTAAGATAAATGGTATCTGACAGACACTCGTTTAGTAATCTCTATGTCTGCACTGTACCATGTAGTGCATACCCACTCACTCTCTCTTTCAATGTACCCTTGGAAAATGCTTCACTTAGTATTTAACAACAGCGTTTACATATACAAGTCCAGGTTCTGTATCTGATTGCCAAAAAGTAATGAGCGTATGTTTTGGTACTTTTTCAGGTTTTCCAAATCGTCCACAGAAACCAAAAGGCAAAAGGGAAGAGCCTAGATACTGGAAGACCTACATGTAGTCCAGTGTCAACACACTCTGTCACCACCATAGCTGTGGATCAAGTCCCTCTGGACTTCCCTGGACTGGCCTAGACTTCCCCAGCAGACTCCCCCTTTAACACAGATTCTGTTGATGGACTCCCTGGTAGACTCACCAACAGATCCTTCCTATCCCACAGACTCCCCTGGTAGACTCCCCTTGTGAACTCCCTTTACCCCTACCTTCACCCCTACCTTCACCTCCACAGACTCTTCCCTTGCATAGTGCCATAGTCCATGAAACTCATGATCTTAATCTCTTCTTCAGAACTTAACAGGTAAAGTTTACATCATCCAAATGCTGCCTACTCAAATTAGACACTGTACATGACTCTGGCAGTAAATAATTACCCAGTGTACCTATATAATGTTTCACACAAAACACTAACATCAAAGTCCATACTTAAAGGGAGACTACTCTCAGGTCAACAGACAGACATGTCAGTTTAGGTGACATTGTTTAAATACTGCTTACTCAAATTGGATAATGCACACAAGTCTAACAATGTAGACATATACTGAGAGAAACAAAGGAACACGGGGAACATTTAATTGTTCCTTTAATATTTTCGGGGCGGTGGGGGTAGCCTAGTGGTTAAAGCGTTCGCTTGTCACGCCGAAGACCCGGGTTCCATTCCCGACATCGGTACAATGTGTGAAGCCCATTTATGGTGTCCCCCGCCGTGATATTGCTGGAATATTGCTAAAAAAGCGGCGTAAAACCATACTCACTCACTCACTCACTTTAATATTTTCATCACCAGCTTTGAATAGCACTGTTGGAGGAAATCTGAGACAAAATAAAGAACACTGCCATGAAGTGATGTTCCCTTATTTGTTTCCCTCAGTATATAATGTTTCTCACCAGACACTGATCACAACATCTAGCTCCAGCCTGAAAATGGGCATCGGAGTCCCATAAACCTTACAATTTCATCTGTAGTTGGTTTCACATAGTGTTTGTTTAGAAATGTGAAGTCGTACCCTTGATTTTATGTACAAATTTATTTGCAATTCTGTTCTGTTGTCAGTGACTACTCCCCACACAAGGCTCCTGTTTTCATGAAAATGTGATCATTTAAAAGAAGCATTTTATATTGTGTGTGATTGTGTACATGTTGAAACGAGTTAAGAAAGTACAACTATGTCTTCCACGAGGTCTACATGGTTTGTCACCATGAATGTTAATACTACCAGACCATTTGCGGTTTGGATACAGAAACATTCTTACCTAATTTTATAAAAGTGAAATTGAAATATATTTTAATTGTTCTGGTTTTTTTCTTTCGAATTCAACCTAACAGCAACTTTATCATCATCTTTTTTCAAAGTTGCCTCAGAAACCTAGAAAACAGTATACATGTCAGTGTACAGCCTCTATGTCAATTGTATAAGTTGACCTGTGGTAGCACAGCAGGTAAAGCTTTCCCTGTCCACATACAGATCCCAGGTTCAGTTGTGTGTAGAGGGACCGGCTATTTCATGCTCTTGGGAAGTTGATTTTTTGTTGGAGTCTGGATATTTTTTCAAAACATGCAGTTTCTTTTTGTGATAAGAGCTGAACAATTTCTTTTCATATCAAAACAGTTTTGTGGACATCCATGTCTATGTAAAACATGAGGCCATAGTTTCTTTGCCACATGTTTCTGGAACAAATTTTCTACCTTTTCTGCACCCATCCTTCTCCCCTTCACTGTCAATTATTCCGCCCTGTGTACTGATATAATAACATGGGGTAATTCATCACATTCCAAGCTATGTGGACTATATGTTTCAAACCATGACAATGATATATACAGCTTTTTTGGTGAGACTTGACCTGTGAGTGCTTGTAAATACTAATACGTATATTATTTTTACAAGTTTGTAAATATTGAAATTGTTATTTTTTGTGATTATTCAGAGATTTATCTTATTATTGTGATCTGGTTTTGCTGATGGTGAATAACTTATTATACACCAGCTGTTATTATCTTCGGTGTGTGGGGTTACAGTGATGTCAGTGTGTCTGGATGTTACGGATATGGTGATATTCACGAATCCAAGAATACATGTGACAGTTCCCAGACCTGGCCGCTGTTGTTGAACCTATCATGATATTGTATACAGCTCACTGAGTAATCGATTTGTATACTATTTATATGAACTTTCTTGACTATTCTACTGTATTGCTGCAGTTCTTTCTTCATGCAAGTCGTCAGTCACTATTGATCCACCTAATAAGCTTTTCTTTAGAAAAGTGAACATTTCTGTTTGAAATTTGTTACCCGGTACCTCCCTTTGAAACATGCCGGCCATATTTACAAAGTAAAGAAATTAAATGAAATTTGTCAGAAAATGAAATGTATGTCATATCAGATGGCTTTTTTTGGCTGGGATGGACACAGGTGGTCCAGTGGTCAAGGCATTGATCTACATCAAGCTAGATGTATAAGTGCTGGTTCAAATCCAAGGTTTGCTGTATAATCCTTGGTCTGCTTGCTCCATGGCTGTGCTTGTGTGGTTTACCATAATGGTAAACATCTACGTCCGGCGCTACTTTCCTTCCACATTTAACTGAGTGCTGTGATATCACTGTAATAAGATCAGATAAGATAATTCTTACAGTTTACCCCATAGTTTCACTGACAAGATGATAGGAATACAAGACAAATCTTACGGATAACAACTTCTTGGTTTATTTTTCCACGTTTCTGGGATAGTTCTTGCCCCTTCTTCAGGTGAATAATGGTGATAGTGTACAGTACAGTGTATACATAGATGTACAGTAAAGTTTACATCATCCAAATACTGCCTACTCAAATTAGACACTGTACATGACTCTGGCAGTAAATAATTACCCAGTGTACCTATATAATGTTTCACTCAAAACACTAACATCAAAATCCATACTTAAAGGGAGACTACTCTCAGGTCAACAGACAGACATGTCAGTTTAGGTGACATTGTTTAAATACTGCTTACTCAAATTGAATAATGGTGATAGTGTAAAGTACAGTATATATATATAGATGTACAGGAAGCCAGATATGTAAATTGGGTATATACAAGCGCATGGGAAAAAGGAGGTATAATTAAGTATGTACAAACAGTGCAGAGAGATCAAAGAGCAGAATACAATGATAGGGTATGTATTTACAAACAGGGCAAGGGTGTGTTACCCCATCATAGTATTCTGCTCTTTGATCTCACTGCATTGTTTGTACATACTTAATTATACCTCCTTTTTCCCTTGTATATACCCAATTTACATATCTGGCTTCCTGTACATCTATATATATACTGTACTGTTCACTATCACCATTATTCACCTGAAGAAGGGGCAAGAACTAGCCCAGAAACGTTGTGAAAAATTAAACCAAGAAGTTGTTATCCATAAGATTTGTCTTGTATTACTACACCAACTTCTAAATGCCTTTGAAGAATTTCAAGATGATGGTAGAGAGCAAAGGGCTGAGTCAACTGTGTAATGGGCTCACGTCACATGTCCATACATTGTTCACAAAATATTTCCAGACCAGTTTATATCATAAGTGTGTCAGAAATGCACTGTTGTAAAGTTATATGGATAGAACATTTCTGATACCAGTGATTTTGACCAAGAAATAGTCAAGTAAAGACACAAGGACCTACCATCCCTGTTTTGACTTCCAAGACGCTACCTTAAGGAACTGCGTTTAAATACATCCAATCCCCATTTTTGTAATGATCTGATTATAATGTGTGACTTACTTGTGAGGTACCACAGTGCCAGGATATCTTAGGTTGTATGTTTCATGCCTGGATATATTTTTATTTATAAGTCTTAGTGGTGAAGCAGTGGTACAGTGTGGCACTTAGTGGTGAAGCAGTGGTACAGGGTGGCACTTAGTGGTGAAGCAGTGGTACAGTGTGGCACTTAGTGGTGAAGCAGTGGTACAGGGTGGCACTTAGTGGTGAAGCAGTGGCACTTAGTGGTGAAGCAGTGGTACAGTGTGGCACTTAGTGGTAAAGCAGTGGTACAGGGTGGCAGAAAACAACATATACTCAACTCTTGAAAATGGTGTGCTATCCGAAGTGCTTTCCGAGTAACAAGTAAATAGGACCGATGTATTTTTACGCAACAATTAGAATTACACGCCAGATTGTTCACTATAATACATGTAAATACAAGCATTGTTTCCACAAGTGATTTAGGGAAGAACTTGTTTTTGTACGCAGTACAAGCCGTCTATCTGCTGACACAGCACAATTTCAGCTTCGGTGTTTAGACTTGTTTTAGTATGCCAATATTGTACAGCTTACATGACCTACTTATGGTGCAACATTTTGTATAGTTTTTGCTGTTGTTTTGTTGTTGATATTTTCCTTTGTTTTTTACTCAATGTTATCCAAAACTTACATCATTCCAGTACAGATTGTATTTATCACACAGGTAGTTACTATGGTAACTGTTTCCTGGTAGTTAACTTTGTTAACCTTGACCTTTAATTGCTACCATAAACTATATACTGGATAGCATGGTTCTAAGATTGGTGCCAGTTTTACTTCTTGTATTTCACATGTTACCAAGTCTGTGGAACCAGAAATTAGTTTGTATTGGTCTGTGATAGTACTGGCAAAGACAAAATACGATAATAGTCTGTGTGTTCAGCATATCAATTGTATCTACCGTCACTACTCTGTATAATCTGTGTAGGTACCAAATAACAACACATTGTATTGTATTATCACATATTGTCTTATCAAACATGTCATTTGATTACATGCTGTGTGGGGCAATGAATTAACCTAATTAAAAGCAATATGCCTAGTTACTTAAAGATCTTGAAGCTGTTTATCACTCATGGGCCAATATTGGCATCAATGGACAAAGTGACTTCATTCAAGATAGAGTAAGTCCCATGTTTAACAGACCAGAGACCATATGATATATTATTATTATTATTATATGGTCTCTGAACAAACTTAAATCATCCGTAGTGCTTAGCCTGATCTATTGAATGGGTCCCTGGAACGGTCCATAACGCACATGCCTCCAGATCAACACATCATGTAATACAAGATAACGTTTTCTTATCCTAACAAAACAACTATTATATATATTTAATGATCCCTACAGCTTTGAAGTTATCAATTTTCACTTAGCGATTAAAGATGAGAAAAGGGGTTTGTATTTTTGTAATAAAAGTGACTCCTGTCTATGTAAGTACACAGGACATGGCAGCAGTGAGTGGTGACTATGACTGAGTTGTTCTACAGCCATGGCTGAATCTTCAAATAGGAGGTAGATCAAACCAAGTGTGTGGTATGTACCCACCGATTGATCCTTTGGATCAAACTTGTTCATCCTACTCAAAGGAAGTTAAGCAATGTGGGGTTTTCCATATGAGTATCTCTAAACTATAGGGGGCGGTGGGGTAGCCTAGTGGTTCAAGCGTTCACTCATGCTGAAGACCCGGGTTCGAATCCCCACATGGGTACAATATGTGAAGCCCATTTCTGGTGTCCCCCACAGTGATATTGATGGAATATTGCTAAAAGTGGCGTAAAACTAAACTCCCTCCCTCTAAACTATAGTCATATGAAAAAACCCTTTACCTTTTGAGTAGTATAGTATATTTTAGCTCACTTCAAGTGATTCACTGCACTTTGATAAGACTTGATCGAGTGAGCTATCCTGTGCTAATATATCTTGTTACTATTGCCCAGTCAACTGCTCATTACATCCTTTGAGTGAGTGAGTGAGTGAGTATGGTTTTATGCTGCTTTTAGCAATATTCCAGCAATATCATGGCAAAGAAACGGGCTTCACATATTGTACCTATGTGGGGAATCGAACCCAGGCTGTTGGCATGACGAGTGAACACTTTAACATCTTGGCTACCCCACCACCCCACATCATTTAAGAAACACTTGACACTAAAACTGTAAATGCCAGAGGACGTTTGATAATACTTGTGATATAAGGGTTGTGAGAACAACGGCAAGTAATGCCCTACTGTTCTTGCAGGTCTTCTTACCCAGTGTAGCCTAGTGGTTAAAGCGTTGGCTCGTCACACCGAAGACCCGGGTTCGAATCCCCACATGGGTACAATTTGTGAAGCCCATTTCTGGTGTCCCCCGCCGTGATGTTGCTGGAATATTGCTTAAAGCGGCGTAAAACCAAATTCAGTCAGTCAGCCTTACCCAGTGGTGGAATCTTTGAAGCGCAATGTCTACAATGTGATGCGATGAAGTATTACGACAGGTCGAAGTGACCTATAATCCCCAACTCACTCACAGTAACTGCTACTTAATGAGACCATGTTTTTAACCACTAGATTAATCCATGTATTTCTGTGCTACATGGGTCATATTATTAAATCAACACCATGTTAAGATCATGTGTAATGTGATACTGGGTCCAGGCAGAGCAGCACCATGATATAGTGCTGTGTGTTGTACAAGTTAGCATGTCCAACAATGTTCTGGGTCTACACAAAATCTGTACTATGATTTAGATGCACCATTAAACAGGCATTTCTAACAAATTTGTGTTCTTATCTGTTACCATGGTTTCCAGATCATTATCACTACCCACAACTACATAAAACCTGTGTGCAGATAGTGTACAGTTATTCCATCTTTCAGATCAGTAATTAGCACTCTCCACAGTAATATTTGGTCATGTGGACAAAAGTGTCTGAAAATTGATAGGGGTGCAGAGACAGGGGATTTTACAGCAGTGTATAAAATATAGCCCGTCCAACCGTCCTTGACCTTCTATTTTTGTGAAGGACGGACTATTAAATAAGTAAAGCCATCCTTTGGTCGAGGGAAATATTTGAAAAACAAACTTAATATCTTGAACTTCGTCTTAGCAATCATGATCTTTATGGTTCATGTATCAACATTTGTTGATTTTTTATTATTTTAGTTTTTTGGGACTGACTCTGTTTGTTCAGGACTGGTCACTTTTTGGGACAGGCCACATTTCAAAACTATTTTATACACTGACGAATAATTAACATGCAGTCAAACACCTTTATGTCGAAATTTGATGTATGGAAGTGATGGTTGTCTCGATGGAAAAGCTTTGTCCTTTTGTACGCTATCTATATTCATCATGCTTCGGTTGTGTCGAAATACTGCTGTGAGAATTCCCTATTTGCCGACATCTTCTCTTCCCAGTATTGAAGCTCATCATAGGTTTTAACTGAAGACCATGTAGACGGCACATGTATCATTTATAAACTCGTGCAATCTTTACATGAACAGTCAGACACAGTTATGTCGAAGTTGAAGGTCCCAACATAAATACTTCGAGTTTGACACAAGCAAAAACTTTGGCAAACGAAAAACAATAACATACAAACGAGAAACATAACAATATCAACACTTTTAGCAGAACAATAAAACGCCAGAAACGTTCATAAAATATCCTCTACATAGCGGCAACACTCCATGCGCCGTATAATCACACCTGGGAAATTCAACAAAAATTCCTGTTCCGTTTTATTCATACAGTCAGCAGTTTAGGCTTGACTCTAATACCTGTAGACTTGTCTATTCCTTTTTCGTACAGGATTCAAAAGATCAGTAAAAGGCCGTCCAGAGAGATGTACCACCAAACCCTTGTCGCAAAGATTATAATTATTTAGTATCCTCAATACTATCAAAGAAGGACTTCATGTTCCCAATAAGCTCTGAGTGAGTGAGTTTAGTTTTACGCCACTTTTACCAATATTCCAGCAATGTCACGGCAGGGGACACCAGAAATGGTCTTCACACATTGTACCCATGTGGGGTATCGGACCCGGGTCTTCGGCGTGACGAGCGACAGCTTTAACCACTAGGCTACCCCACCACCCCTCATTAAGCACTGAGACTTATTAAATTAAATCAAACCATTGGCTTGAAGTTTTACATCCTCAGAAACGGACCAGTTCTGTAAAACCACTGATTTTTCAACGTTGGGCACGACTATCTCACATGACAAACGTAAAGGACAAAATGAATATATTCCTTGATCCATGCGGCATTTTTAATAAACATGGTCAACAAAGATGTACGTACATATTTATCTTCAGAGGTTCAGGACAATTTGTTCGAAATGAAAGCTTATACCATTTGAACTTTACCGAGAAAACTATATGTGACATGCTGGACTTTCTCATAAAATCTGTGTAAACTGTGGGGGTGAAATATTTAGACAAGACGTAGGCATATGTCCATGTAAAATAATTGTGCTCCGTCGTCGCTCTCTTTCTTTATGCATATGAATAGGATTTTCTGCTCTGGTTAGCAGAATGAAAACAAGAAAATTTGGGCAAAAGGTTTAACTTAAGCTTCAGATATATTGATGATCTAATATCGGTCAGCAACCCATGCTTGTCGTAAGAGGCCACTAACGGGATCGGGTGGTCAGGCTCGCTGACTTGGTTGATACTGGATTGTCTGGTCCAGACTCGATTACTTACAGTGAGTGAGTTTAGTTTTACGCCGCACTCAGCAATATTCCAACTATATATATGTATGGCGGCGGTCTGTAAATAATCGAGTCTGGACCAGACAATCCAGTGATCAACAGCATGAGCATCGATCTACGCAGTTGGGAACCGACGACATGTGTCAACCAAGTCAGCAAGCCTGACCACCCTATCCCGTTAGTCGACAAGCATGGGTTACTGGAGATCAATTTTCTAACCCGGATGTACACGGGTCGATTATCTACAGAAACCAACAAAAAAAAGAGAGAGAGAGAGAGAGAGAGAGAGAGAGAGAGAGAGAGAGAGAGAGAGAGAGAGAGAGAGAGAGAGAGAGAGAGAGAGAGAGAGAGAGAGAGAGAGAGAGAGAGAGAGAGAGAGA